CACATAAACAGCCTCTTAAATCTCAAGATCATCAAGTAACCCCAAAGGAGTTAAATGAGTTATTACTTACACTCTCTTTGCAGGCTTGGTGAAGTACAAGAAACAAGGCCACGGAGTTGGCATCTGTTTTTGCGGGATTTTATGTAGTACTTATTGTGATAGGAAACTTTGATTTAACACAGATTTTATAATAGCCAGAGGTTGGATTTAAACTCAAATTTAATTAGAAACTTATAGTTTTAAGAAGAACAAAAATAATTGTGTTTGCTACGGTGCTTAAGTACACTGTTTGAGAAGCGCAGAGGAGAGCACTTTTCTGAGAGATAGTGAATGCGAGGAAAGTATTATTTTTGAGAGAGGTAAAAGAGAGGCAAACAAAATTTGGTTTTTTGAGAAGCATAGGAAAGGTCTCATTGTTTATTTTGGAATAATGAGAATTTGAGTTAGTAAAAAAATATGTGATAAATCCGTAACTGCAACTTTTGTAACACAAAACATTTCTTAGACTTGGCTGGCAGAAGTCACACATGTGCGAGATTTGTTTTGGAACCAATTTAAGAGAAAGCTATTTGAATAAAACTATAGAGTTATTCTTATTTATAATTTTACTAGTATATGAGTCGGAGCATGGCGAATCGGTGGACTATGTATGTAGATATATATAGCTGCCATAAAAACGATCGGACATGTTTAAGAAAAAAATTATAACTTTTCCCGTTTAAGTTACAGTTATTTTTCACAGCTTAAATTTGAGGCAAGATAAATACGTCAAGCGATACATTAAAGCATCCCTTATCTCTTATGACTCCCAACAATTTACTTTTGCCAAGGCTAAGGAATAAAAGTAAATTGTCATATATCATAAGTTGACTTATTAAGTGCCAGCCACGGCAGCTTTTCCATCATCCGCGGAAGGCGATCCCATCCCCTCCTTTTAGTCCCCGCGTCCTGGCAAACATGTCCTTTGTCAAGCTGGATGCCTGTGTGACCCTGCGGGTTGTCGTTCTCACATATGCAAATAAAGCAAAAAAGTAAAGCAGCCAAAGTGGCTCCTGTCCGCGACTCCTTCTGCGACACAATTGCTGGGAAGAGCTCCCGGCCATACATCATATGTGTGCGTCCCCGCACGGCCAGCGATGCATTCAATTTTTCATTTGTGCCCCCGCGACCTCCTACGGTAACACACCTTTCGAGGGCAATCCCTTCCAATGGCAAGGACGCGACGTATACCTCTTTATATCCATCCAAATCCAGACTAGCTGGATTTTCATAACAAAATCTCGGTTCTTTTAAGGATCGGGTATAGAACACAGGACACTGAGTGCGAAGGGACGAACTTAATCCCATACGAACTAATTCAATGCTGACTGTTCAACTTGTTTACGCCAATTTCTGAATTTTTCCGCCGAACTCAGCGTGGGATGCTGCTAATGCCATCGATGACGTCGATCTTTGCCAACACCCTTTGATGTCAAATGGAATTTATTTCACTTTTAGCCAAGCATACCCCCTACATATCTTTTCCTTCCGTTTTTTCACCGGAAATGCTGACATTTTTAACCCGCTGCGCTCAGTTGTATGCTAAACTTTTTATGGCTTCGACATTGATGGACGTGTGCAAGTCAGAAGTTGGTGGAATGCTGCTGAAGTGGAAAAGCGATCGCTTGTGTATGATATTCGAACGCAATCGATTCTTCATCACAAGTTACAATTTTTTAAAGGTAAGGGGAAAGTCGTGCTCCCACAATTCCCTTGAGTTTTATGGAAACTGCGACGTAGTCTAGGAAAAGCCCTGCAAGTGAGTTCCTAATTGAAAACACCTACACATAAAAAAATAGAAGCAAAGATCAAGCTAATTAATAGATATATTTTCAGGACATAGCTAGATCGATTCAGATTTTGATCCTGATTAAGAATATATATGATTTATAGGGTCGGTAATGATTCCTTCAGTGCGTTTTAAGCTTCTGAATGAAATTATAATATTTAGCAAAGATATAGTAAGACCGATATTAATTTCTGTGTAAGGACTCCTCAGGCCCTTTCAGAGCCTGGGAAATCAGGTTACACGAGTGGAAAGCCCGACGCTTTTCAATTGCGCGATGTTGTCGTCGGAATTGCTTCCTAATTAGTGTTTATTGTTTCTCTCTGCGCCAAAGGTGTGGGCTAATTTTGATTGTCATTACGCGAGTAAGCGAACGGAGGGTGCATGAGGGAGCTGTGGTAGTGTAGGTAATTCTGTGTGGGTGATGCCAAGGGATGCTGTGTGCGAGTGTGTGTGTGTAGGGTAGCGAATGATAGAGCTCTGGGAATTGACGTCAGCGGAAATAAATAAAAATGATTCAAAGAGAACCTGAAACTCCTTTTCTAACAATTATTTTTGGAAAGAATGGCTCAGAGACATTCAGTTATATGTTGACTATTTAATGCAAATATTATTATCTACTTTCCTAAGTATATTTCAGGCTAATTAAACAAATAAACAAACAAACTTACCTCGATGGTTATTGTTTATTTGTAATTGCGTTTTCCTGGAAGCGCTCTTTAAGTGCCACGAAGTGTCGCTTTAGTTTAATTTTATTTTTTATAGAGCTCGAGACACAATCAAACCAAACCGAGTGTCCTTGAAGTGAGAGCAGCAATTGAAGCGTAATTATTTGCTACGGCGCATTTCCTTTTGGCCGTCTCGTGGCGACGCTGGCCAACTGCCCGAAACTAGAACCGAGTCCGAATCCGAATTGGAACCCACAATTCCGGAATCCGGACGACGTAACTTGGCACTGGGTCAGTGGCGCAGCGTGGGACTTGTCGATGTTTTTGTTGTTCTTATCCCTGCTGTGATTGGGGCTGTCCTGCGTCTGTGTCGCTGTCTCTGGGAGTCTGAGCCAAGTAATCAGAATAATTACATGGCCCTAATGGCCAACAAGGCAGGGGAGGTGCTGGCGAAAAATGCAAAACACTTGCTCAATTTACAGTTGGCCAGCAATCGGGATGGCATAATACTAACTGAACATCACCAAAAAAAATAGGAACTAGGAAATCGAACATTTTTGGAGGACCGTCTAGGAGAGAGAAGACATTTTGTTAAATAAAAACGACTCATGATTACATAATTAATGTTTTTCTAAAACGACCCAAGGATATAATAATGTGTTTTTTCCAAATGTATTTATTATTTATTTGTAAGCAGATTACAAAGGTAGTTGTGGCATTTGCCAAAAATATTGTCCGTACTTTATGATTAGTTTTTGTTGCGTCCTCATCCAACCGAAATTAAATAAAGCAACAAAAGAAAGTAGGAAGGCTACAGTCGAGTGGAACGCACTGAGAGATACCCTATAACCAAAGCAAAGAGTGTGAAATTAAAAGTGATGAAGTTAAAAAAAAAAACAGATATTTTCGCAAGAATATGTTTTGGAACACCCAAATAAAGGCAAATGTTGCTACAACAAATTTGAGCAATACCAAGTGATGTTTCGAAACATCTTTATTCTCTAATAACGTCCATTTTTGTTATCCTATTTCAAAGAAATTTTTAAAATGAGATTGCGCCAGCCTAAAATTCTGTACAAATTAAATATTTTAGCTTAAATACTGTTTTTGTTCCGTACGTTCTCGGCTGCCACTAAGCTAAAATACCGATTGAGTAAAGGGTATAAAAATGAAAGGGGAGAAAACAACAACCGCCGGCAGAACCGGCAACTAGTAATGCGAACGTGACACGAGTAAAGTTGGAAACCACGCTCATATTGTTATTGGTTATAATTACTTATTACTCACTGTTTACTAGAATGTTTGATCAACAACAATAACTATTAACTATTTTGTACTTTCATATATCGTTTATATTTTTCCTGTTCTTAAAAAATGCTTTCTATATAATAGTTGAAGATGTTGCTCATCTCCAATCGGGGACACCATATGCCGGCAAATTAATAAAACAAACCGACTCGCAGCCACAACCACAGCAATAGCAACTTCAACATTTGTCAACCACAAATCTCACACTTCAATGTTTTTAGTTTAACCACAAAATGTTATCAATAAATTTAAGTTTGTTTCCTACAACGTTTGAAGTACCGGCAAATTTACGAGAATTACGATAAAGCGTCGAGAAAGCGTCTACCACCGCCTTCGCTGAATATTTTTTAAAACTGATTTTGTTTGAACTTTCGCGAGAGCTTTAATACAGGTCCACAAAGCCCACAACGTCCACAATCCACAAACGTTTAAGGGCTGTTTTGTGAAACCAAAACAACTTTAGCTTTTTTCGCTCCACTAGGAGACGTTCTGGTTATTGTTTATTGCGCAGAACTTCTCCTGATATTTTGTAATTTTATTAGAATCTTAGCATTTCTGTCTTATAGTGATCTCATCAAGGCAATTAATTGCGAACCTATTAGATATTTCAAAAGAATATTTTATGTGGCACTAACCTGAACAATATACATTTTGTGTGTTCACTGTCACTAGGAATGAGCGTAAATATTGTTGATAGCGTTTCTTTGAGTTTTTTTAATAGAAGGACTCCAATTGCTGGCTGCCACTAGCATCCCAGGTGCTGTTGGCAGAGGCCTGGCTCAAGATTTCATAACTTTGCTTGTTTTTAACTTTGTTGACAAACTTTTCCCGCTTTTACCTCGGAAGAGATGGATGAAGATCAATAACAATATCGCGTTAAAACATCGATCATACTTCACGAAAAAAGGTTATTTCTAGCGGTGGTAAAAAACATGTGGAAACATCGACAACCTACGGCACTATCGATTGGTTGAAAATTTTATCGCTATCGCTTTGTAAGCACGCAAATGAGAGGTTTTTTAATGATTTAGTAACTTGAATAACAAATTGTAATTTTACACAGTTTAATTATTTTTAATATATATTAAAAATAAAATATCAATACATACACTACAAAATATATCGCAACATCGATATTTTGGCTAACAAAATATCACGATATAAATATATCATCTTTAGAAAAAATATCGATATATTGATATATTTTCAACAACTAGAATTAACAATTAACAAATTCTAAAAAAGAGCTCAACTCAAGCACCTGAGCATAATGGCTACGCAGAATTCGTCAAAAGAGTGCATTGCTCACAAGATGTGCTAATTAGCGAAAGCGCAACGCCAAGAAAAGTGGAGTGAAAAATCCAGTGTGTGTGTGTGTTTGTGTAAAAAAGTGCGCGTGTGGGGAGAAGAGGAAAACACTGAAAAACAGCGGCACGCTTGTAAACAATTTTGCGAATCCAAAGATTATGAATATCGCGGCCCACTAATCGCCAGCAAAATGTCGGAAGCCTTCGACGAGGAACTGTTCGAGACACGCCTTGAAGCGCTGAAGGACACGCAGGAGGGCATACAGCAGATGTCCAACTGGTGCTTGCAGCACCGCTCCAACCACAAGAAGATCATCCAATGCTGGCTAAATGTCTTCAAAAAGGGTGAGTCCTCGTCTGGGTCCCTTCGCTACTCCAGGCTAATGGTTTTCTTGTTCTGGCAGTTCGCGTGGAACACCGTCTGGTGCTATTCTATTTGGCCAACGATGTCATCCAGTACAGCAAGCGCAAGCGCTACGAGTTCGTCGAGTGCTGGGCCACCGCGCTCCAGAGAGCCACCACCATGGTGCGGTAAGTAGTGAAGAAAGTGCTTCATCACTAGTTTAAATCGTTTAAACCAGGTGGATAGCAACTGGGACGCGATACGAGTGATATTGCCTTACATTTTAATAATAAATAATAATAAAATAATACCACTTTAATTATTTTTCTAGTGACGAACGCGTCAAGGACAAAATCCTGCGCATTTTCAAGATCTGGGAGCAGCGCGAGATCTACAACGAGGAGTACTTGAGCGACCTGAGCGGCTTGCTCAACATAGCGCCGCCCAAAAAGTCCCAGATCGATGTCAGTGACGAGTTCCAGAACGCCACACTAATTGCACAGATGCGGGAGTGCGTCGAATTGGCCGAGTCCACGGACAAAAGCATGAAGAAGCTTCCGAAGCCGCCTACATTCGAAATCGAGGTGATCAAGCAGCAGCTCAAGGACAAGAGCCACTCCGGAGACATTGAGAAGGAGGTAGAACGGTGCGTGGCCTTCATAAATGCTTACAACAAGAACCTGCAGAACGAGATTAAGAGCCGGAAGGCGGTTTTGGCAAGCCTGGAAGCTGCTAAGAAATTTTACGAGCACCAGGGCAAGGAGGTCAAAGTAGTGGCCAGTGTAAGTATAATGAAAATTAGACTTTAAGCTGGATTTAATATTTTTTTACCTTGACAGGCCTACAAAAGTTTTGGAACGCGCATTAAGATCGTAAAGCGAAAGCTAGACGAGACCATACCCACTCTGGCCAGTCCCATACCCTCCCCGGATATTAATGCACCCTCCCCAGAACGAGACGCCGACCTGCAGCTGCCTGAAGAGAATAACACGCCGCTGGGCATGGTAATTGGAGAGCTATGCAAAGGGAAGACCTCTTAATAATAATATTCTTCCTTCAATCAGAACCTCTTTGGCGGTGGCTTAAATGGCTTCTCCAGCTACCTAGACGGTGGCAAGCTGCCCTTTGACATCAATGACTTCAAGCGGGACTCGAAGGATAGGGGCAGCGCCATAGAAGTGATCGGCTCGCGTTCGGATGACGAAGGCTATGTGCCAAGTGCCAATTTCTACAAACCGGAGCCCATTTCCAGCTCCAATAGTAACGCCATACCTGGCCTCGGTGGTGGTGGAGGATCCGCTGAATATACCCCCAATCAGCCCCTCTTCAGCTCTAGTAGCAACCAAGAGCAATATGTTCCGCCGCTGCCATCGCATGTCTACGGCGGCAGTGGAAGTGTCGGCGGAGGAAGTGGCGTTTCGGATGGTCAGTACACGCCGACGCCGATGCCCCCGCCCCCATTGCCACCAGCTACGGGCTCTGCGGATGATTTCAACAGCACGTGGAACATGAGCATGTCGTGGACGCCGCTGGACTCTAGCCTAAATAGCAGCGGAGCTAGCTCCTCATCGTATCCAGCAAATCCATCCACCCCCCACTCGCCGCCACATTTCGAGAGAAAGTGCAGTGCCGCATCTGCACCCATTGAGTACAATGAGCATCTGCCCGCTGGGCTGGGGGCCGAGGATGTGGACCATCGCACCTTACAGTTGCCGCCGGCCTTTGATTTTGGTTCGGCCAAGTTGGGTCTTAGCAAGGACAAGTCCCGGCAGCTGGCGGATATTGATCACAGGAACTTGATATCGCTTACAGGATCGCCTGGCCGAGCGGAAAAGGTAATGGTTTTTTAAATAGATAGCGAACAGTTTATATCAAATAGAATATCCATTTGCCATACATTATAGTAAAGTTTATATCGGCCTTGGTCTTAAATCGTTTTTCTTTTTTTGCAGGACTTTGCTGGCGGTGATATGGACTATCGGATTGTCCCAAATCCAAATGCCAAAATGGCTCCGCCTGGCAATGGGAGCTATGCCAAGGGCAAGACCAGTTCGCCGCTTAAATCGAATGCCAGTACGTGTTTCTTATATTTCCCAAAATTATGTAACCAGATGTTTAATATATTTGCTCTACAAGCAGGCTCCTCATCCGAATCGGATCGAGTGGATGGCGCTGCCCGATATGATCCCGCTGATATGGTCATCGATATGGACATGTCAGACGACGATATCGATGAGTCACTGAGAGGTAACAGTTCAACTTACAGTCAAAGTAACCTTAAAGCTAAAAAATTATCCAATTCAGATTCAAAGGATAATCAGGAGGAGGCTGATGCGGACATCAATGGAACAACAAATCCTTCGCGTCCTGTTTTGCTGGAGACGCCGCAGGACTTCCTGAATCCTTGGGAGACGACTGGCAACAATAGCTTCTTGCAGGACGATGAGGACACCGAACAGCAGCAGCGACAGCATCACCAGCAGGAGCTTCATCTTCAAGAGCAGGAGCACCACCTTCAGGAACATCATCTTCAGGAGCAAGATCATCATCCGCATCTCCAACAGCAGCAGCCCTGGAATCAAATGCCTCCCATGCATATGGCTGGCAGTGCTCCTCCTCCGCCGCGACCTCCCTTTGGCTCACCCTTCTCACCGTTCCAACGCTTTCCGGGACCACCTATGATGAACAACAGTCCCGATGGAATGCCACCGCGTGGAGGTGGGCGTGGTGGCCGTGGACGGGGCTGGGGTGGGCCGGGACCATTTAGGCCGCCATTTCAACGGATGCCGGGTTCAGGATTCGATGGCGGACCAAGACCTTTTTTCCCCCGAGGGGGTCCGATGAGAGGACGGGGGCCCAGGCGCGGTAAAGCGTGGATGATGTAATAACATATTCTTCAAAAAATAAGAGAGGAGGGCCCAAATCTCTCGGTTTTAGTTTTTAGTGTTCAGCTTATCTCAGCTTTGATTTAAACATTTAAGAAAAAGTTCATTTTACAGGACCACACACTCAGACACATTACACTTTTAGGCTTCTCTTTTTTACGGACGCAACGTTAGCCGATTTTAGATTTTAATTTTTTTCCTCTGCAAATTGTATAAAAGTTTATTAATTTATCATATTTTAAACTTAGTAAACAGCAATATATAAAACTACTAGATAAAAAGTTAAATAAAATTAATCCCCGAGCTGCATCGTTGAGTTATTTAATTGCACTAAAAATAAATTTTACATTTATGGATGACAGTCACTTATCTCCCAAAGAGTAAACGTCCTGTCAAGTCTTCACTTTGCATCCTCTCTGTTTAAATCTAGAGTGTTGCCTAAGCTTTCTATAATCGCTAAATAATTGATTCGTTTAAGTCGCCAATGCTTTTAGTTTATACCTATTAAGAACTGTAAATAATTATAAAATTAAGTCTAAAATAGAAATTCTGAACGCTCTTCACACCATTAACGCAAATATACTTATAAAATATATTTAAAATTTACATATAAACCCAATTCAACTGTTTTAGTAATGAAAATCAACCAAGAAATAACCAACGTTGAAAGAAATTGCAATAAAGTTTGATTTCCTTTATATATATATTTACTGGTAGCTTTTAGGCACATTTAACGAACTTCATTATTAACGGATTTTGGCCAGATGAGACTTTTCTATAAGCAAGAGACATCTATTCGATCTTCATACACATTTTTCTTCGTTTTATTGTAAGTTCAAAGGTTTATAATAATTGACCGATGTTCTACAAAGTAATATTTAAACACTTTCACCTTTATAATCAACAACTCGAAAAATCAAGAGTCCACGTTAACGATTAATTCCTATTGAATAAATCAGCTACTTTAAAGATTCTTTATTGCAATAAGGTAACAACATTTAGTTATTCAACAATATGTCATTCGGTTATATAACCATAAACATCTATAACTTTCGCTCGAATTTCACACGCCATCGTTTCGCTCTTTACATAAAAATTCACTTAGCCTAATATAAATAAATTAATAGGGATTGTGAAAAGTATTTAATGTAAGATTAATGTTAGACTTTTAGCAATACGAAACCGTAGTTATAGATAATTTAGAGTTGTATACAAAATACAAACATGTGATATTCGAAACTAAAATTGTGTCTTTGAGTCCATTTCCATTTATTTACAGCCATTTATAGAACTCAACCGGATCCTTTGCGTTCCTAAGATCCTCCCACAATTCCCATAGCATTTACAAATGACTATGTTTAAATCAATTTCCAAAGGATCTGAAGCGGCGACTCTGTTTATCCTTAGTGCTTACCTGTTGACGTTTGCGGCCCTTAATCACTTCTGTTTTTCTTTGGATTTCCCTCCACGGTGTGTGTGTGTGGTGTGTAGGAAGTCGGAACTCATCAATTCTGTGCTGCTAACTGATGTTTTGGTGGGTGTGGCACACTTCCTACTTAGTCCACAAACCGCTCTAGCCTCCTGTCTCAAGGATCGAACAAGGGTATCCTTGTAACCTTGAAGGGTATAATAATTGTATTCAAAAGCTTATAACGAAGTGAAGGAGTCATTTCCGACCCTATAAATTATATATATTCTTGATCGGGATCAAAAGCCGAGTCGATTTAGCTATGTCCGACAAAAATTTAATTTATTCAAAATTTTCAAAAATTTCCAATAGGTAAAATTGGCAAAAAAAAAGCCAAAAAATGTAAATTTTTAAAATTTTAAATTAATGACGCAGATTCATTAGCCTAAGAAAAAAAGCATTGGAACGCTTTCCGAATTAAAATTCAAGCTTTTTAGGCTTAGTTATGAGTTTTTTAATCATTGATTTGTCGAAAAATTGTCATATAAAATATTGATAAATACCGATTCAAAAAATACGAATTTCTTAAGTATACTTATGATCGTATTCTGATTCGAATCAATTGCAAATTTCAAGGGTATATAAACTTCGGCTTTCCAAAGTTAGATTTCATTCTTGTTTAAATATTTAAAATGAGTCAAATGTGTGACGAATGTGAAAAAATGTAAACTACATCTCCGGATTATTTAATGGAGGTATTTAAATATATAATATATAACAATATAATATATTGTACTATTTTAAAATTTACTTAATATACAAGTTTAATTTCGAATTCAAACACATTTTTGTTCATTATCTATTCTATTTTTGGGGGTCTTCAATTGGATAAACTAATCAAATATGGCTTTTACAATATTATAAATATTGATTTTGTGTATTAATATTTTCCGTGTGTTTCTGCGGCAGTCAGTATTTTGTTGCTAATCACTTAAACTTTAAAAGGAGAACCACCCTAATAATAATCACAGGATAGTATTTAAATCTTATATTTTTTAATATTATTAAACTATATTGAGTTACAACTATGATAATAATCTTAAAACTAACAGCCTTTATAAGTTTTCCACTAGGTTTTCGTGTTCAAAGTGTTGCTGCAACACAGCCCGAAGAAGGGACTTCCGCCAGACGAAGGAAGGAAGGAGGATCCTCTCCTCTCTCTCTCAGTAATCCCTGGACAGCAGCGTAACCAAATCACCGATGTACGCCTGCGCCATTTGCAGCGTCTCGTATTTGGATAACCGCCGGTCATGGCCCAGCGATGGCACCACATCCCTCAGCTTGTCGAAAGCATCATTCAGGCTGTTCATCCGTCGCCGCTCGCGGGCATTGGCCGCCAGTCGACGCTTCTTGAGTACCTCGCCGCCGCACGAGGATGACTGGGAGCTGCTGCTAGCGGAGGAGCCGCAGGATCCTGACGACGAGATCGACGTAGACAGCTTGTCGTAGGGCTTGGCTCGCTCCTGCTTTGTCCAGTACTTTGTGCTCTTGCCCTGGCTCTTTCCCAGATGATGCGGATAATGTTGCTGCTGCTTCTGGACACTCAGCATATGCTCCAGCTCTAGAACGGCCGGGGTGTCGTCGTAGTACTGATCCATGGAGCAGCTGTTGGCGGTGCCATCGGAGAGGCTATCGCCGCTGTTGGTGCTGAACTCCTGCTGGTACATTAACTGCTCCAGCTGCTGGAAGGCGTCGTTGCCCAGGAACTCGGGCAGAACTGGTAGCGGCGACTCGTCGGTGTAGTAGAACTGCTCCATCAGGTCGTTGTTGTTGGTCAGCATGTTAACGTTCGAAGGCTCGAAGGACAACTGGAGTTGGCCAGCAGAGGACTCTGGTTTATATAGCCGCCGTAACTACTCTGTGATTGGCTGAGGCAGCTTACCTGCTACCTGTTACCTGATTCGCTGCAAATCCCCTCAGGTAACCCGCCTCTCTCGAGGATCAAATCCCCAGAACGTGCTCTAAATTGGCTTGCGGTCAAAACGTTTAATTGCCTCTCTGACTCTCCGACTCTCCTCTTCAGCCAGGTATCAGACTACGACTCCCTTTGTGTGACCTGTCACTGGGCCACCATCCGTAATGATACCTCTCTTTTGTTACATTTCGTTATTCGCACTGAAATTACACTTTTTATAGCCAAACAATTGCTACCAAGGTCAGAATATGCGAGATCAAACAATGAAATGCATTTCTTGTGGGAATCTTTGCCATTTCCACTCTGCCTCCTCCTGAGTATCCACTGCCACTTTTGGGTCATCTCGGTTGCATGTCTGTGGTCTAGTATAAGTACAGATCAGGCCCTCCTCAGGAGCTCTCGGAGCAGAGAACAAAGGCCAGAATTACAGTGTGCGGTTTTAAACTTTCGATTTTAGTTTATCGCTTATTGGGTCAAATATAAATATTTAAGTGGCTTTCTCTCGCAGTTTAAGGTAAGCCTAGCACGAATGAGCTGATCGATATTATAAAAGGTTTACTCTAAATTCACTTAACAATCAGTTATAAAATTTTAAAGCCTTGCAGGGTATTATAATATTAGTCCGAAATTTGCATTTAACTTTACATTTTCATAAACAGCATAAAAATAATATAGTTGTAATAATATTGTTTTGATAATATCGATTTAAAACCCCTAGAATATTGATATTTTGGGGTTTATTTGTGTCATCTGAAGGTCAAAAAGTGAATGATAGCCATAAATATAGTTTGATTCACAAATTAAATTCATCATAAATTCGCAGATTGCAATTAAATCATAAACTAATTAACAGTTTTTCATTCACAATTTTGGCTTTTCAAAATAATTTAATTTAATTTCCTGAACATACATATGTTAGCTATATATGCCGATTTGAATTAAGCAAAAATCTATAATATTAAGCAATGGTCATGTCTGAAATTAGATAATTTTTAATGATTTTTTATTTAAATCATTCTATGGCAGCTATGTATGTATATGTAGAAACGCAAAGACGGACATGACTTGAAAGGTAAAAGAAAAGTCAATATGCTGTATTTTAAATCTAAAAAAAACTAACAAGTAAACGTTATTATTATATTACTAGAAGAAATATTAAAAACAAATCGTTCTGCTCTATTTTATACATGCTGAACCTTCTCTTGATGATACCCAGACGGATGGTTCTCCAGCCCACTTTCAAGTAGCCGCATCGAAAGGCTAATTGACTCCACAGACTCGCAATAGCAAGGATGAAATTCAATTCGAGGAGTTTCTAAGTAAAACGCGGCCAAACAATTGGAAAACATTGACCCAAAAAGAAGCGCCGGGCATGGCTAAAGAGTACAAATGATGCCACTGCTGCTGGATGGCCCAGATTCAGGATACTCTTCATCCAAGATGTCAAGTCAGAAAGAACAAAGTCTCGGGACCGACAAAGGACTCTGACGTTTGATCTGGACGCGGCGACGTTGATAGCTGATGGATCGGTATGGACTTTGCCACGCGACCGCCGCTCAGGCCAAGTGCGATCCCGGATCTAGCATTATGCTGCAATATTGCCTTCGGGAGAAAGGTTCGCGGATAGCCTAAAGATCGGCAACGCCCCTTCTGGGTTTTCCAATTAGCATTTTTGCCTGTGATCGGAGATCTACCTGCGATGTCAAGAGAGGTTTTCTCCAGAGTCCGGCGGAGGCCCTGTCAAAATAGCAACAATAGGTAGTTGGCTGGTAGGCGGTTCTGGTTGAAAGTAGGCAACCTTTGTGACCAGGACACAATAGGCCAACTGATGGTAATCCTTCGCTGTGTTGCGCGTTTCTAGGGCTTTCCCTCTGGCCCAGGATAAATCGTTTTCGTTTTACGGATTAGCTGTTGGCGCTAAATTGCGAAAATGCGATTAAAGAAGTCAAGAGGAATTCCATGGGAATTTCTTTTCTATATATCCTTGTACACTTGTTGATTCCTTTCTTTGTTATAAAATCTTGAACAATGGAGCGATATGTACTGGGTTTGTTGCTATTGTTTTTTGACCCATTGTTTCCTAAATTACCATGTAATAATCTGGAATTATGAAATAGTATACATATGCAACTATTTGTTTGTTTCCAAGTAAAACTCTTGTGGTCTATACCCACAGATGTGCAAAATTCCGCAGACAGCGTGTCTGGCAAGGTCTTTAAAGACGTTTAAATTCTCACTTTGAACGGCTCACAAAAGATACTATGGAAAATGTACAAGTACCTATATTTTTCAATATTCAAAAAACTATTTCAGCCTGTGGGTGATTCCAAAATCAGTTCTGAACTCTCGAAAAAATGGTATAACCTAACACTTTCCTTAATTTTCTATAAAAAGTAAACGGATAACCAATAAAAATGTAAATCTCTCCCATAGATATCAATCCGTACAGGAGTGTGCGACAAAATTTCCACAAAACTCATGCCATAACTTAGACACACTTCAAAGGCACTTCCCTACAGTAGGATCCTTTTCTCTCTTTATCCACAAATTGTCCGTTAGCGCCCCTGGAAACGTGTCAGGCAATTGCGTGCGTTTACGGGAATTTATTGACACTTGAAGCGAGGAGCCTTGATACCCGCAAGGATATCGCATAGCCAGGTAGCCAGCGACGATGGGTATCATAAATTGTCATCACATAAATATAGTGCAACAAGGGGATCGAGCGTAGCCCGTGTGACATTTATGACTCTATTACCCGTCTGCTGCTCCTCTAACTGATCCTGATTCCTCCTCTTCTTGTAATCAGTGTTCTTTGCTACACGTGAGCTCCGCTCCTCGTATCTTAATAAGCATTTGATGGTAGCGGTAAAAGATGCACAAACAGAGTCCCAGGGAGATAGGGGAACGGAAAGTGTTAATGGATGCTGCGATAGGGAGTGTCCTGAAAACGAAGCAAACTTTTACTAATCGCACGAAATTCCTTTGTTCATTGAGAGAGAGAAACAATGGGGAGTCGTGTGGGCTTCTCTTCTAATTTGGTCTGCGGTTAAGGTCTTGCAGTTAAGCTTTCCCATTCACGAATTAAAAAAAAACACTTCACATTTACATAAATACATAAATATTGCTAAGACTTTATTTAAAATAATTGGAAAGAACTGATTACAACTAACGCTGTGCTCATTGTAAATTACATATTAACTTGTTCACAGTTCACGCACACAAATATATATTCGCCTAAAACAATCCATCAACTGTGAATAGCTTACAAACTAAGTGCTTCTTGAAATCATTTTGATTTTACAACCACAATCGACGGCGGTTATCTAATACTCTTTTTAAATTTCGGTATGTTAATATATTCATGTATTCAATCACAAAATGGGATAATATCGGTGTGAGCTCTCTCGGTCGGGGCGATTTAATATATGATATTTCTGTGTATAAGTTTGTAAGATGGTCCGTCATGGTTAGTTTTAGTGTATAAAGTTATTACATTTTAGTTTCGGTGATATGAAGTGCTTTTTCTTGATTCGGTTATAATGATATTAATTGTTCTGTGCGAATAAATATTAATTTAGCTACAATATTAAATGAATACGCTGGAGAATACATAAATATATGTGGTTAAAAAGGGCGAGTCGGTGTGACAAGTGAATGACAACTGTATTTTAAGTGTCAGCCGCTAAAAAAAATGCAATTCATGATCTAATTGTTTGAATACTTTCCCTTTTAGTTAAAAATCCGAATTATTATTACCAAATAAAAATTTTGTAGGGAAAAATGAATTTTACCAACGAACACACTAGAAATTCTAGGAAACGTTACAGAAACAATTTTTTAAAACAAATTAAAACCGTATTTTTTTGAATTAAAACAAAAATGGTACTGACACACTGCGACTCGACCCTAATAAATATCATTATTTCTTTATAGCTTTAAGCACTCACAGAAACGCACAGTAGTTGGTGCGTGGCCCTGTTCCATCCAACTGCACTCTGGTTTTCCATCTTTTCTTATCACTCATAGAAATAATACCCCTTAGAGCGTCGTTGATGTTACCGTGCTGACGCCATGGACCAGAATTGTGGGCGGCAGCTCGGCGGTCAGTTCGGTCAACAACTCCATGTAGCTGGCGCTGCGCTGTGCGAAATCCGGCATTGATAGCTTTGGCGGTGCCGCGAGATAGATGAACGACAATGCCGTCTGGTCTGAGCGTTCGCGTATGATTTGATTCGCTCGCTGCATGTAGACTAGCGAGCGATTAAGCCTCTCCTCGGTCAACTCGTCATCGTCGTCTTCCAGCAGGGCATTGTCCGCCTGGGCGGTGAATTGCCTAAGGGTGCGGGCATGCCGGCTAAAGTCACTGTCCCGACTCCACTCCTGGATTTCAACAATGTCGGCTGTAATGCGGAGCTCTTTGAGCGACTGTTCTAGCTTCATCTTCGAGAAGATCTCCATTTGTGGGGCCTGGGTGTCGAATGTACTGAGAGGGAGAGAAGAGAGCAATTTACGCAAAATGCATCAACTTTCTTCGCTGCCCGTGTGTAAAATCGCTTTAAACTCACCCCACCGTACGATCGTCGTTGGCCTCGCAGAGGAAAATCCTAACGCGCAAATGCTTCCATTTGGCCAGCATTATCACCGCCAACTGCATCATGAACAGGGAAACCATGTCGAACGGATCACCACAGGTGGGGTTAAACATATTAATGGGCCACACATCGATGTACTTGACATGCTTGCTGCTGCTTGGCAAAATCGTATTCTTAATAAATTTGAGTGATTAAGTAATTAGAGTCCACTCACATGGCAATAAAGTTCTTATCCAGTCGCTGGAAATTCCTACACAGGCACAGATTCTTCTTCATCCGAAGAGTGTCGCAAAGGATCTGCACATATTCCTGGACTTGGAAGTGCTTCGGATCGCCGTCACGCCGAATGGGAAAGCTCTGGATGTCGCCAGTGTTGAAATCATCGGTCTTATACGGCGAAGAGCCACTGTGGTTAGAGAAATATATTCATAGCAGACCAGCAGATCAAGGATTTAAATCTTCACTTACTTCTGGAAAAAGTCCCTCGGTGCCTCGTTGTCGTAGAAGCCCAAAATAATCGTGTTTGGCTTCATTGCGCCGATTCCTGACAAACGAATCAAGTGCTGGACTCCCTCGCGAATGCTCCGACTCAAGGTCACCTCCGTAAAGGCCTTGACTCGCATGTGATCCAGGAAGGACCACCACTGCTGGTTCTCTTCAGCATCTTCCGCGCTCTTAAAGTCTCCCAACTTAACATGCCCTATGATGTATAGGCCGCTTTTCTTCAAGTCGTTGACAAAGTCCACCAAGGGACAGCAGGATCGGGGCGAGGAGACCAACAGCAAGATTTGCGGACGCCAGAACTTGACATGATCTTTGCGGGGATCCAGCATCAAGAGGTACTTTCGCACCTGGTGGAACATCAAGGCCTGCGATATCGAGCCCCATTGCGCCGCTTGAGTGGCGGCTGGCGAGAAGAGGTGGAGGGCAATCACCAAGATCAGGCACAAGATGATGCAGGACGAGGCGTATATCGGGTTGATCACGAACATCATAATCAAGGTGCCCAGTAAACCCACCAGGCACGTGTGCCACGTAAAGTACTTGAACAACGGCCTGAAATTCGGAGCCCCTGTAAGCTCAATGCCTAAGCAGGCCAGATTGGTGGCCAGATAGGAGAGCATGAACAGGACCGAGTTGATCTGAGCAATGATGTTGAAGGAGCCAATCAACAGGATGCACTCCACCAGGCACCAGCTAACCACGACAGCAGCAATGGGATTACCCTTCCACGTTCCATGCAGCACAAAGTTCAAGAGACTTCCGAAGACCTGATCCTTGGAGAGAGCCTCCAAAATGCGACTCGAGCCAATCAGATTGCTCAGGCTCGTGGAGAAAGTGGCCGTGAGTATGCCAATGGCTGTGAACGGTGGCCACAGATTCACCGGCATCAGGAACAGGTAGTTATTCTGCATCGTGTAATACGGCGTTGTGCAGCTCATCAGGAAAGAGAGGATGATGTACGAAACGAATGTGAAGGCCACGGCCGACAGTGTGCCCCAGGGAATGCTCTTCGATGGATTCTTTAGCTCACCGGACATATTTGCTCCCGCCATGATGCCTGTAACTCCCGAGAAGAGGACACCAAAAGTGGTGGAGAAGTCCACCATTTTCCCATTCGACGTGTAGTCGGAACCATAGTGAGAGCCCAAATTTTCCCGAAGCGTATTGGCACTCAGGCCCGTATAGTTAAGGAAGTGCACCGTTTTTGAGATGTTATTTTCTGCGGGCACGGGAATCTGAAAGTAAAGAAGAATTACTTATAAGTGAGGTCTCTATGTACACTTAAACATATTCGCTGGGCTTTATAATATCATCAAGAGTTTAAGTGTTCGCAGTTGAGCTTCTATATCTATATATGTTTGAACTGAATCAAATCGCATATACACATATATATGTACATACGCATATACACATATATGTGTATATGCGATTTGATTCAGTGCTCGCATTATAGAGTAAGGAAATGCAAAAAAAGTGCCTTATCTGCAAATGGTCTTGAATATTTGTTAAACTATAATAATATATTTTTTTTAAGGTAGATTCTCCCAAATTTTTTAAACTATTTTTCCGTCAATAAAATTTATTTAAAATGTAGGTTAGCCCACACAAAGGGTATTGCATACTAAGTTGTAATCAGCATGCCTTTTATGATTCACACAAACCCTTATCTCGTTATTTTCAGCCTTTTTTGTTTAATACAAAATACTATCAGTAAAACTAAAAACTGTATGTACTAGTTTATCCTTTATACGATTATCAAACTAATTAGTCTGATTTAAAAGAGTTTCTATATAAAATATAAACCCAAATAAAGACTAAACACAAATAAAAACAAACACATTTAACGTCATTTTGCATTATTCTTTAAAATTTCCCTACTACCGGCCAAAAAAAAAAACTATAAAATCCCCCTAAGTACAGATAGCTTAAAAATAATCACTTGCTTGGGAATGAGCAAGGAATGATTTCACGCAACATAAATTATAGCAAATTTCTGACCAAGTCCTTATCAACTTTCGATAAGACTTGGGTAAATATTTAAAATAAACCCCAAATTGAGCCCTAGATAGCCTAGATATTGATAGCGCATCTTCGATTGATAAGCGGGACAGGGCTTTGGCTCCCATGAGCGATTGCTACACTGTTAAAAAATAGGTATTTACTATTTTTAACATGTTGATAACTATTTTCGATTTGGAAATTAACATACATTTCCAGGTGTTACGTCCAATTTATCACTAAATATTTATTTCAAGTGTATAAATTTCTTACCGTATCATTGGTGGCGCCCACAGCCAGGAAACTAATGTACGTGGCGAAAAGGCAGACGGTGACGGTGCCTAAAATAAGCACTGACGTCTTGGCGAACAGGGCGGCACCCACTAGGCAGACCAGCAGCTGAAGGGTATTAATCATGCTGCTGGTTAGGAAGCGCCACCACTTGCCGTCCGGCAATGTGGAGTCCCCGGTTACGAAGTGGCCACCGGGGCCAAAGTTATCCATGATGCCCTCGGTGCAGCCAGAGATGGCCATAGCCGATCCTACGACATTGGCAAAGAAGAACAGAGTGCCGATGGATCCGCCGAATTCCAAGCCCAGCGTCCGACTGATCATGACTGAAAGAGGTTGGGAAAAGATTTAAACATAAAATAAAACAATTTTTCTTACGAACATGGCAAGATCGGCTTGGCTGTTGATTCAGATAAAGAATATATTAACTTTATAGGGTCAGAAATGACTCCTTCCCTACGTTCCAAACTTTTGACTAAAATTTGAATACCCTGCTATACACAAAAGTTTGATCGAGTAACTCACAGTAGACACCGCCTCCTTCAATAGCTCCATTGGTGGAAATGGCACAGACGGAGGCCACCGTGAAAAGCAGGATGCCGTAGGCGATTAGAAACTGCAGCAGGGTGACGTACAAGCCCGCATTGCCCACGATGTAACCTGAACAAAGAAGGACAGATTAAAATATTGAGGAAACGGGGCACACAAGTTCAATGGACCAGCAGCGGCAGCGGTAGCGGCACAACAAGTGTTCCGTGACGTCACCACAGCCAGACTTACCAACACGTATGAAGACTAAAGCGCTGAACATGGACAGAGCCACCGGACTGAAGACACCCGCAAAGGTGCCCAGGGTACGGCCATTACGTTCTGGATCCTGCATACCGAACTCCACATATCCATCACCCGATTGCGGCGTATTGGGGCGATCGCCGCTGTTTTGGCTGCCGCCGAATAGGGAGCCAAAACTGCGGAAGACGCTGCCCGTGCGTCCGTTCCGCGAATTGGCAATGGGAGCCGTTTCCTGCTCCGTGGAAGCGCTCATTTCAATGTCCGTGTTGCGAATAATGCTGAAATACTGAAGACGTTCAAGCGAACGCCTACAATTTCCAGCTGTCGCAGACCAGTAACAATAATCACAACCATGGACGGAGTGGGTCTTTACTTCAATGGGGGTCGGGGCTTTCAATCATTTAACTTAATTTCGGGATAGGCATTTGGAACTGGATAAACTGTATAGGAAAATTCTTTTTTATTTAATGGTCTTGTTGTTTATTTTTTTCATACGATATTTATAATAAAACAAACAAAATTTGTTAAAGCGAGGCTTTAGAGCCCCATTCATTCCCACAACACCCATGACCCTGGCAGTGTGGCAGCAGCTACAGAGTACCAGCTTTTTAACAAACAAATATACCGAAATAAACTTTCATGCTTCAGTATATATCGTCTGCCCATCGATAGCCAAACAAATTCATATATTACGCGGTACCACAGCAAACAAGGGTTTAATTTTAACTCATTGGGACAATGGTGGAATTAATAACAATAGCCCAAAAATTGTAGAATTTTTAAAACGTCGATTTTTTTTTATCAAATTCAATAAAGTATTAAAAATAAATAATCAATTCGGAAAGCTCTCCTTTGTAAGTTTTTATAAAGTTAACAAATCTAATCCTGATCAAGAATATATATGATTTATAAGGTCGGAAATTATTCCTTCACTGCGATTTAAGCTTCTGACTGAAGTTATAATAACCTTAAATTTAAATATTTATCTACAATTTTATATGTTAATTTTTGGATAAAAGTTAAGCTTAAGAATACAATAACTTAGCCAAAAAGGGAGTACATTTTATACGGAAAGCGAACCTATGCTAAATACTAAATTGAAAAGTATCCATGGTCAATTTTAAATTTAAGTAAAGGCAAATGGAAATGACTGAAATTATAATCCCATTCTTTGAGTAGGTATTTTTTTACATTTTTATGCCAATTTTTCCTAAAAATCAAATTGAAAAAAACTCATAACTAAGCCAAAAATGCATTAATTTCAATTCGCAAAGCTTTCCTATGCTATTTATTCTTAGGTTAATAAATCTGCATATCAATTTAAAATTTTAGAAAATTGAATTTTTTGACAATTTTAATGATGTAACCCCTTATCGTTTTTTGCAAAAATGGAAAAACTGGTAAAAATTTCGATTTCCTCCAAACATTCCTAGATCGACTCAGCTGTTGAAGCTGATCAAGAGTATATATGATTTATAGGGTCGGAAATGACTCCTTCACTGCTTTATAAGCTTCTGACTAAAATTATAATACCATATTTTATCTATTTTTACGCCAATTTTTTATAAAAATCAAATTTTAAAAAATTCATAACAAAGCCAAAAATGGGGTTATTTTAATTCGGAAAGCTGTCCCGAGCTAGTTTTTATCACGTTAACAAATTTGCATACTCAGAGAAAGTATTTTGTAAATGGAAATAACTGAAATTATAATCCCATTCTTTGAGTAGGTATTTTTTACATTTTTATACCAATTTTTCCTAAAAATCAAATTGAAAAAAAACTCATAACTAATCTAAAAACGCATTAATTTCAATTCGGAAAGTTTTCCTATGCTAGTTTTTAGTAGGTTAATAAATCTGCATACTCAATTTAAAATGTTAGAAAATTGAATTTTTTGACAATTTTAATGATGTAACCCCTTATCGTTTTTTGCAAAAATGGAAAAACTGGTAAAAATTTCGATTTCCTCCAAACATTCCATTTGAAAAAAACTCATAACTAAGCCAAAAATGCATTAATTTCAATTCGCAAAGCTTTCCTATGCTATTTATTCTTAGGTTAATAAATCTGCATATCAATTTAAAATTTTAGAAAATTGAATTTTTTGACAATTTTAATGATGTAACCCCTTATCGTTTTTTGCAAAAATGGAAAAACTGGTAAAAATTTCGATTTCCTCCAAACATTCCTAGATCGACTCAGCTGTTGAAGCTGATCAAGAGTATATATGATTTATAGGGTCGGAAATGACTCCTTCACTGCTTTATAAGCTTCTGACTAAAATTATAATACCATATTTTATCTATTTTTACGCCAATTTTTTATAAAAATCAAATTTTAAAAAATTCATAACAAAGCCAAAAATGGGGTTATTTTAATTCGGAAAGCTGTCCCGAGCTAGTTTTTATCACGTTAACAAATTTGCATACTCAGAGAAAGTATTTTGTAAATGGAAATAACTGAAATTATAATCCCATTCTTTGAGTAGGTATTTTTTACATTTTTATACCAATTTTTCCTAAAAATCAAATTGAAAAAAAACTCATAACTAATCTAAAAACGCATTAATTTCAATTCGGAAAGTTTTCCTATGCTAGTTTTTAGTAGGTTAATAAATCTGCATACTCAATTTAAAATGTTAGAAAATTGAATTTTTTGACAATTTTAATGATGTAACCCCTTATCGTTTTTTGCAAAAATGGAAAAACTGGTAAAAATTTCGATTTCCTCCAAACATTCCATTTGAAAAAAACTCATAACTAAGCCAAAAATGCATTAATTTCAATTCGCAAAGCTTTCCTATGCTATTTATTCTTAGGTTAATAAATCTGCATATCAATTTAAAATTTTAGAAAATTGAATTTTTTGACAATTTTAATGATGTAACCCCTTATCGTTTTTTGCAAAAATGGAAAAACTGGTAAAAATTTCGATTTCCTCCAAACATTCCTAGATCGACTCAGCTGTTGAAGCTGATCAAGAGTATATATGATTTATAGGGTCGGAAATGACTCCTTCACTGCTTTATAAGCTTCTGACTAAAATTATAATACCATATTTTATCTATTTTTACGCCAATTTTTTATAAAAATCAAATTTTAAAAAATTCATAACAAAGCCAAAAATGGGGTTATTTTAATTCGGAAAGCTGTCCCGAGCTAGTTTTTATCACGTTAACAAATTTGCATACTCAGAGAAAGTATTTTGTAAATGGAAATAACTGAAATTATAATCCCATTCTTTGAGTAGGTATTTTTTACATTTTTATACCAATTTTTCCTAAAAATCAAATTGAAAAAAAACTCATAAGTAATCTAAAAACGCATTAATTTCAATTCGGAAAGTTTTCCTATGCTAGTTTTTAGTAGGTTAATAAATCTGCATACTCAATTTAAAATGTTAGAAAATTGAATTTTTTGACAATTTTAATGATGTAACCCCTTATCGTTTTTTGCAAAAATGGAAAAACTGGTAAAAATTTCGATTTCCTCCAAACATTCCTAGATCGACTCAGCTGTTGAAGCTGATCAAGAGTATATATGATTTATAGGGTCGGAAATGACTCCTTCACTGCTTTATAAGCTTCTGACTAAAATTATAATACCATATTTTATCTATTTTTACGCCAATTTTTTATAAAAATCAAATTTTAAAAAATTCATAACAAAGCCAAAAATGGGTTAATTTTAATTCGGAAAGCTGTCCCGAGCTAGTTTTTATCACGTTAACAAATTTGCATACTCAGAGAAAGTATTTTGTAAATGGAAATAACTGAAATTATAATCCCATTCTTTGAGTAGGTATTTTTTACATTTTTATACCAATTTTTCCTAAAAATCAAATTGAAAAAAACTCATAACTAAGCCAAAAACGCATTAATTTCAATTCAGAAAGTTTTCCTATGCTAGTTTTTAGTAGGTTAATAAATCTGCATACTCAATTTAAAATGTTAGAAAATTGAATTTTTTGACAATTTTAATGATGTAACCCCTTATCTTTTTTTGCAAAAATGGAAAAACTGGTAAAAATTTCGATTTCTTCCAGACATGCCTAGATCGACTCAGCTGTTGATGCTGATCAAGAATATATATGATTTATAGGGTCGGAAATGACTCTTTCACTGCTTTATAAGCTTCTGACTAAAATTATATCACCATATTTTATCTATTTTTACGCCATTTTTTCTTAAAATCAAATTTAAAAAAAATTATAACAAAGCCAAAAATGCTTAAATTTGAATTCGGAAAACTGTCCCGAGCTAGTTTTTATCTCGTTAACAAATTTGCATACTCAAAGAAGATAATTTGGAAATGGAAATGACTGAAATTATAATACCATTCTTTGAGTAGGTATTTTTTACATTTTAATGCCAATTTTTTTCTAAAAATCTAAGCCAAAAATGCATTAATTTCAATTCGGAAAGCTTTCCTATGCTATTTATTCTTAGGTTAATAAATCTGCATACTCAATTTAAAATTTTAGAAAATTGAATTTTTTGACAATTTTAATGATGTAACCCCTTATCTTTTTTTGCAAAAATGGAAAAACTGGTAAAAATTTCGATTTCTTCCAGACATGCCTAGATCGACTCAGCTGTTGATGCTGATCAAGAATATATATGATTTATAGGGTCGGAAATGACTCTTTCACTGCTTTATAAGCTTCTGACTAAAATTATATCACCATATTTTATCTATTTTTACGCCATTTTTTTCTTAAAATCAAATTTAAAAAAAATTATAACAAAGCCAAAAATGCTTAAATTTGAATTCGGAAAACTGTCCCGAGCTAGTTTTTATCTCGTTAACAAATTTGCATACTCAAAGAAGATAATTTGGAAATGGAAATGACTGAAATTATAATCCCATTCTTTGAGTAGGTATTTTTTACATTTTAATGCCAATTTTTTTCTAAAAATCAAATTGAAAAAAACTCATAACTAAGCCAAAAATGCATTAATTTCAATTCGGAAAGCTTTCCTATGCTATTTATTCTTAGGTTAATAAATCTGCATACTCAATTTAAAATTTTAGAAAATTGAATTTTTTGACAATTTTAATGATGATGATTAACCCCTTATCTTTTTGTTGCAAAAATAGAAAAACTGGTAAAAATTTCGATTTCTTCCAGACATGCCTAGATCGACTCAGCTGTTGATGCTGATCAAGAATATATATGATTTATAGGGTCGGAAATGACTCTTTCACTGCTTTATAAGCTTCTGACTAAAATTATATCACCATATTTTATCTATTTTTACGCCATTTTTTTCTTAAAATCAAATTTAAAAAAAATTATAACAAAGCCAAAAATGCTTAAATTTGAATTCGGAAAACTGTCCCGAGCTAGTTTTTATCTCGTTAACACATTTGCATACTCAAAGAAGATAATTTGGAAATGGAAATGACTGAAATTATAATCCCATTCTTTGAGTAGGTATTTTTTACATTTTAATGCCAATTTTTTTCTAAAAATCAAATTGAAAAAAACTCATAACTAAGCCAAAAATGCATTAATTTCAATTCGGAAAGCTTTCCTATGCTATTTATTCTTAGGTTAATAAATCTGCATACTCAATTTCAAATTTTAGAAAATTGAATTTTTTGACAATTTTAATGATGATGATTAACCCCTTATCTTTTTTTGCAAAAATAGAAAAAATGGTAAAAATTTTGATTTCTTCCAGACATGCCTAGATCGACTCAGCTGTTGATGCTGATCAAGAATATATATGATTTATAGGGTCGGAAATGACTCTTTCACTGCTTTATAAGCTTCTGACTAAAATTATAATACCATATTTTATCTATTTTTACGCCATTTTTTCCTAAAAATCAAATTTAAAAAAAATCATAACAAAGCCAAAAATGCTTAAATTTGAATTCAGAAAACTGTCCCAAACTAGTTTTTATCTCGTTAACAAATTTGCATACTCAAAGAAGATAATTTGGAAATGGAAATGACTGAAATTATAATCCCATTCTTTGAGTAGGTATTTTTTACATTTTTATGCCAATTTTTTTCTAAAAATCAAATTGAAAAAAACTCATAACTAAGCCAAAAATGCATTAATTTCAATTTCTAAAAATCAAATTGAAAAAAACTCATAACTAAGCCAAAAATGCATTAATTTCAATTCGGAAAGCTTTCCTATGCTATTTATTCTTAGGTTAATAAATCTGCATACTCAATTTAAAATGTTAGAAAATTGAATTTTTTTGACAATTTTAATGATGATGATTAGCCCCTTATCTTTTTTTGCAAAAATGGAAAAACTGGTAAAAATTTCGATTTCTTCCAGACATGCCTAGATCGACTCAGCTGTTGATGCTGATCAAGAATATATATGATTTATAGGTTCGGAAATGACTCCTTCACTGCTTTATAATCTTCTGACTAAAATTATAACACCATATTTTATCTATTTTTACGCCATTTTTTCCTAAAAATCCAATATTAAAAAATTCATAACAAAGCCAAAAATGCTTTAATTTGAATTCAGAAAACTGTCCCGAGCTAGTTTTTATCTCCTTAACAAATTTGCATACTCAAAGAAGATAATTTGGAAATGGAAATGACTGAAATTATAATCCCATTCTTTCAGTAGGTATTTTTTACATTTTTATGCCAATTTTTTCCAAAAATCAAATTGAAAAAAACTTATAACTAAGCCAAAAATGCATTAATTTCAATTCGGAAAGCTTTCCTATGCTATTTATTCTTAGGTTAATAAATCTGCATACTCAATTTTACATTTTAGAAAATTGAATCTTTTGACAATTTTAACTTTATTTTTCAAAAATAGAAAAACTGGTAAAAATTTCGATTTCTTCCAGACATGCCTAGATCGACTCAGCTGTTGATGCTGATCAAGAATATATATGATTTATAGGGTCGGAAATGACTCCTTCACTGCTTTATAAGCTACTGACTGAAGTTATAACACCACCAAACGGGTATTAAAATTTAAATATTTATCTACTATTTTATATGTTCATTTTTGAGAAAAGTGAAGCTTAAAAATACAATAACTTAACCAAAAAGGCAGTAAATTTAATTCGGAAAAAGTTCATATGCTGGTTTTTACGAGGTTAATAAGTCTGCATACTTAATTTTACAATAATCTGATTCCTATACAAATGGCTGACAATATCGGCAGATGAAAACAGCAGATTCAATAAAAATTACTGAACATTATATTGTTATATGTTATATTTGGTTAAATATATCGCCGATATTTCCAATAATTCAGTGGAAACTTTTTGAAAATAAAAACCGGAACCACCGAAGGGTGACGCAGCGAATAAATGATAACCCATCAAAGTCTCTATATATAGTAAGTGGTTAATTGGGCGGCGTTCTAAAGAATTGATAATAATATAATGCTCTCGAGTAGATAATGACGAGTATATCTGAAGGTATTTTTCGTATAAAAGTCTAGGTACCACCAGGCCATTCTTCAAATTCGCGAAAGTAATCATTACCATGAAGACTCTGCAAATCGTGTTCGTACTTTCGGCCATTTTCGCCGTTGCCTTTGCGGCCAACGCCTCCTGGGGCACTAAGCTATCCAGCAGCAAACTGGCCAGCACCCAGAACGTGACCATTCACAAGAAGGCCAACGCCTATGTGGAAGCACAAATAGTTTTCCCTGTGAACGTACATAAGTTTAATGAGTTATTAATTTTCTGTAAAAGTATATTATATTCTTGAACCCACACACAACAGGGCCAGACCAACACAAAAATCATTCGTTTTATCAGCGTCACTGACCGATTCACCAACAGCTCAGGACCCATTGCCACCCTTTGGTCAGGTGGTCCAGGATACACCCACGCCACCATCCAGTTGAAGAGCCAGTATTCCCAGGGTATTAATGCCACCGCCCAGATCTTCACGGACTAAACTTGCGAAGGAAGTTGTGGAAAACAAACTTCATATAGCCGAGACAAGATAACAATTAAAAAGAAAAAAAAAATTTTAAGTTCACGCAAACGCTTGTGGTTTTATGGAGAATTAAAGCTATTGAAAGGATATTATTCATTTCTTTCTATGTATATAATATATTCAAGCTTAATTACTTTTAATTATCCATGTCAATTATACAGACCGACATATTCCAGCCAGAAAAAATAAATAGATTATTAAATGTTGTGAGGACTTCAAAATGATGAAGGTAGTCAGTATTTTTTTCTGATAATTAAATAGATAATAAATATTATGGAAGATGTAGGTATTTAGAATAATTAAGTGCAAACCTCATCGGCCTACTGATTACACGATACTTCAAATGCACTCTTCAGGCCTCCCACATAAGAGTCCAGGCTTGGCTCACCGTAAAGTTTCTTGTAATTTTGGATAAGCTGCTGGTGATCCTCGTGGTTAAAAATGCATATAGGATTCATTGGAACCTTTGCTTCTGGAAAAACATTCCTCTAAAGAAGGGCCCTTGAGCTGAAAGCCTCCGGTGACCACGGCCCTTTCGGCGGCTGTAGCTGCTTCTTTTTTCTCTTCACGTTTTACCAAGACATCTTTTGGGTCTCCTAAGTCTTCGAATGTCTCCTCTAAATTGGTTATTTTTTCGTTGTCTTCCTTATTTCGCAGCATTCTTTTCAAAACGAAAACGAAACAGTTTGCGCACAGCCGCTAGAGGTGGGAAAACATAGAAAATCGCTATTGGTGTCTGGCATTTTGTTTTTTCCCTTTGTGGCTCTACGGCGCTATCGTCATCGATGGGGTCATCGATGTATTGCTATCGGACCGAACGTGCTACGGTTTGTTATTATTTTCTTTTGTGAAAATAATAAAATAAAATACTTAAATAAAATAGTTTAGGATATATAGAAGCCTTATCAGCAACGTGACATGGCCACCATAATACCGAAAAGTTAGTATCCATTGTGTTTCCCAGTATTTCTCGCAATTACCGGCTTGGGCATGTTGTGTAACTGCTTTATTGCTTTTTGTATGACAATTTTCTCGCTAATTTACTATTTAATTAATCAGGCCTTCCACTGGTCAGGACTGTTACTCCCGCACTGCAGTTCCTGCGCTTTCGTGGCAAAATTAACATACAACGGCCCAAGGAGCCGCACTATGAGCGCGCTCGGGTGATTGCAGTGACGCAGCCCAAGTACCCGGAGCCACCGAAGGCCGTGACTTGCTTTAGGACGCGGGCGCAGCGTACCCAGCATCAGCTGGATAACCCTTACAATGAGATCATAGCGCGCGAAGTGCGCAACTGGCTGGATCACTCCAAGCTGGTGGCCATCTTTCACCTGAACTCTATCACCGCGGACGAGGTCTTCCGTGTTCGAGTCCAGCTGTACAAACAGAACCTGCACCTCAAGTCCTACGGCCGCAAGATCATAGGCCAAGCCGTGGAGGGCACTCGCTACGAGGCCATTCTGCCACTCTTCCACTCAAATCACTGCATCATCTTTTCGCCGGACCAGCAGAAGATCTCCGCCCTGCTGAAGATCACGCGAAAAGTGCCGCAGATGGTTCTGCTTGGCGGAATCGTGGAGGAGACTATGCTGAGCAGGAATGAGCTCATGGCCTACGCCCAAATGCCTAGCTTGCAAGCGGCGCAGGCGCAACTAGTCCAAACCCTCAATCAGGCAGCTGGGCACCTCGTGCAGCAGCTGCAGACGCATCAGAACAACTTTGTACAAGTGCTCGATGTCCATGCCAAAGGTGAAAATAAGAAAGAATCCGCAGTGGACGAGACCCAAGAGAAATTGTAGTAAACGCCAGGTTTTTGTTAAATAACAAGAAAAGCTAAATCGAAGTATCAATTGTCTTTCTCATACTAAACTATAGCTTCTACAAATTGATTAACTACTGCGGCACGATCTGGACGCATGCCTTTTACGACTAGATAGATTGCACTTTCCGAACATCTGCTGGAATGATGGCGTCAGTTCGATGGCACCGCTCACGAGCTGATAGTGGCGGTATGCTGCTGGTGCCAGCGCTGCCTGCAGTTGTAGGCCAGATTGGCCAGGGCCTCCGCAGCGTCAAGTTCATCCTTGTGATGGAGCATCCAACTATCTCCCCGGGAGGCCGCCGCATCGTTGGAGAACATCAGATGGCTCTGCCCGTTGCCTACGTTGCTCTTCTGTCTGAATGCCACAGTTTTTTTTTTTATTTTCGCTATAATATCTCCAATGCTGCTCACCTGGTCGAATTCCACTCGATGTGATAATTACTCCTGTCCGGCGTGAATTTGGCGGCGCTCTCCAACCACTTGTTGAGTTGGGTGCCCGGTTGAGCGTTATTGTTGATGGCCTCGCTAGCAGAACTATCCCGCAGATACTTCTCCATCATCTGGTGCTTGTACTTAGCTCTGCCCACCATTGTCGTAGGCATACGTATCCGTCCGGAAAGCTCCTCTGCAGACTCTACATAGAAGTTTGGCTTGTATTGGGTAGTGGAGTCGTTGTGGGCGTTGCCATCGCTGCCGGTGCTGTGGCTGGACAACCCGTCGTCGTCGTCGTCGCCATCGTCTTCGAAGTCGTCATCATCTCCACCAGGACACAAGCGCATTTCCTCCTCCCAAATACTATCCTCCGACGAGATGCTGAACTGCTCCACATTGCCCCTCGCATTGTGGTTGTAGTTCTTGATCAGATGTCCCCACGACTTCTTGGCCTTCTCGCGCTCCGAGTTTTTCAGCTTCCGCCGCCAGTTGGCAAACCAATTACAGATCTGCGTGTAGGTAAGTCCCGTCTCCCCTGCCAGTTGCTTCTTCTCCTCCCGACTGGGATAGGGATTCTCCCGGCGCCGGATCAGCCAGTCCTTGAGCATCCTCTTGATATCAGGTGTAAATAGGCGTTTGGCGACTCGCGTTGCCGGCTGCAGTTCATCCTCCGGTGGCCAGGCGCGTCTAAAAAACATAATTTCACGCCGAACTTTTTTAAATTGTAATCCGAAAAAATATCATTCTAACCACCATTTCAAATTAACGGTCAGTTAAGCTGAATATTACTTAAGTTCGAAAACCTAATGCCCGATATATAACATTATTTAAGAGCTAACTGATTAGAGTGTATTTCTAACCGATAATTAATAATATATGTTAGTGAGAAACCCACCTGCTGTGACGACGATTACGCTTGGGCCGCGTTGACTTCTCCATGGACTTCTTCTGAAAAGAATTAATAGAGAACGTTGATGGAGCAGATCTGGCACAATATCATAATAATGAAGGCAATCATTTTAAAAATACCCTGTAAGTCAATTTAATTTCAAAACTCTTGGTGGGTGGCGCTATTTCTGGCCCACGGATTTTCATGTTTTTTGGCTGCGTTGCTGTTTTCATTTTATTTTCTTAACGAAACAAATATTTTGGCTTTGTCACCACAAGAGAGAGAGAGAGAGAGAGAGAGGACGAGCATAGCGGGTGGGAGAATTGGCGCGGGGTTGAATATCAGAAGAGAGTCTTCTCCCAACAGAACTAAAAATCTTTTAAGGGTATCGTCTTTTCCCAATTCTTTTAAATGTCAAGTTGTGTGTGCATGAGTATGTTTTCATGTTTTTCTGTCTCACCTAACCTCTTGGTTGGGAAATTCATTGATAAAACGGCGAATCATGTTTTTTCCTCCGATTAATGTATATACTTCTATGTTTATATATAGATCTTATGACACTGACTGTGTGTTAAAGATTTGAAGCTTATTTACACTCTCGTGACCCTTAAATGACACTTGGAAATATGTGTTATTCCGGTTGCAAAACCTTGGGAAAAGTCCAAATACTTGAAGGATGCATCACTTTCGTTGACAATTGCAGGCATTGACATTAACATTAACACTAACATTATATAATCTAACATAACACCATTGTTTTGTTTGATTTTTTTTACGTTTTTAAAATGTATACGGTTTGGGGGTTCTCTCCATTTTCCCAAACAAAAAAAATAGATATCTGCACCCACCTGTAAATATTCGGTCTATATTTTTCGAATATGTTTCGTTATTTATATAAAATGTTGATATAGACAAGAGCTAGTGATTCGTTCGATGTTCTGGGCCAGACTGAACTATCCGAAAAGAATGTTTTTCAGAGACCCGAAGTGGACTCTCCTCAAACGATCGGCTGAAGAATACTCCATCGTCCGAGTGGTGGGGGCACTTCTAATCTATTTACAAAATACTGCTAGATATGTGTGCTTATTTTAAAACAATCGTTCGTTGTACGGAGAACGCTTGCGAATTACTTTCGCTCTCGATGCCCACAGCCATTGGGGGTGGTTGATGATGAGATGAGACGGTGGCCATGACGTGCTTCAATTTAAATTGTGTCGCAACTCATTGCTGAAACATAGCAATAAGGCTTTTTAATAGTGCATAAAAAGCACTTAATATATTAAAAATATGATAATAGATCAGTGAAATAAGAGTCGTTACAAGGTTTACACATATTCGCTGTTAAATTTTAAATGATATTATCATTAATTGTTTTACATCCTATTGAGTGATGATGAATTCAGCACCTGGCGAATTTAAGAAAGTTTAAAATTCTTAATTTCAAAAAAACAAAAACTACATTTGAAAATGCCGTTGTCCGCTGCAGGGCTGCCAGATCCTCTCGTCTAAGTGTGCCCGTTCACTGCGAATTAAAAAAACATGCAGTACGAAAGTAGATTCGGTATTTTGTAGCGCTTTTCGAGCAACAATTGTTTATAACTGAAACGTAATAATTGATTGAAATACGAATTAATTGAAATCAAATAAACGAAAGCCATGAACGAATCGGTGCGCTACGACCGCTGTCACCAGGTGCAACTGGGCGTTCACAGCGAGGTGCAGACGTGTGACGCCGCCGAGGAGGATCCACAGAGCCTGCCCACGCAGGGCACGGGTACCGTAAGTGTCGTCGATCTTTTTCTTTATTGTCCAGTCCCTGACTCATTTATTGTTGTTGTTCGTCCGTATTCGGCCATTACGTGTCGCCAGATCCTCTTCACCCACGACGGTGTTTTGCTTAAGAAGGCCAGCGCGGAGCACATCTCAGACTTGAACACCAGCGGGTCCCTGTCGCTGGTGGAGTACTCCTCGGCGGAGCTGCCTCGCCGAAGACTGCTGCTGGAGTGGCAGCCGAACGACAGCATCATGATAGCGGACGACAGCCAGGACCAGGGCGACTGGGCTTTGGTGGATAGGATATCGGGGAGGACGCGCACCACATCCGAGTGCCGTGCTTTCAACACAAAGCCCAGTGGCGGCGGCAGCAGCGGGGTAGCCCGCACACGCATTATGCGTGCTCAACTAGACGACCTGCAGTCCTTGGAGGTCCGTCATCGCGGTCAGACCATTCGGTTCATGCGCAAAGGCAGCGGCGGCCTGCACAGCGAGTACTTCTTTCAGCACGGCAACGCCGATCTCTTTGTGCGCTCCATGCGCGACTTGCACTTCATTGAGAGCAATGGCAATGAGGAGTACACCATACTGACCACCGAGAACCAAAAGCTGAAAAAGACCTTCGCCGAACTAGACATTGGCCAAATAAAGTCCAGTCACTTGCCGCGCGACAGTTGGTTGCCAAACAAGCTGGCCGGCTTCCTAGGAAACATACCCGACTACGTGCAGCCGCCGTTCCAGCGTTCGCCCAAATCCCGCCCAGGGTCGCTCATCGCTGGCGAACGGCAGACTTCGCCCGACAACTACCAAATCATCGGCTTAAGCGGCAGCACGAACAGTGCCAGCTCCTCGAACGGTCAGAGCCGCGGCGGAAGTGCGGACAAATCGCCGGCGGATAGCGAACTGGAGAACCTGGAAAAGATGGTAAATAATTTGCCGGACCGCCAGCGTGTGGAGCGTGGTGAGTTATGGAGCCGTTTTTAAAGGGAATATCGCAGCAATTTCTAGCTTTAACTGTCCTTTTCAGGCTTGCCTCTCACCGAGACGCAGTGGCTGGAGTTCCAAACGCCCGACGGCCGCATTTCGGACAGCGACCGCATCCGAGAGCTCGTCTTTCGCGGCGGCATTGTGCACAGCCTACGGCCAGAGGTATGGAAGTTCCTGCTCAATTACTACCAGTGGTCCGACACCCAGGTGGAGCGCATCGAGCGACGAAAGCAAAAATCGGTAGAATACTATAACATGAAAGCCCAGTGGCTGGCTATGACGACGGCCCAAGAGGCGAATTTCAGCGGGTATCGTGAACGCAAGTGCCAGATCGAGAAGGATGTGAAGCGCACGGATCGCACTCTGCAGTTCTTTGCCGGCGAAGACAATCCAAACTTGTCGCTTCTGCAGGGCATCCTTATGACCTACGTGATGTACAACTTTGACCTGGGCTACGTCCAGGGCATGTCTGACCTGCTAGCACCCATACTGGAGATGCAAGTGAACGAAGTGGACGCCTTCTGGTGCTTCGCGGGCTTTATGGAGCTTGTGCTGACCAACTTTGACATGGACCAGGCGGGCATGAAGACGCAGTTCGCGCAGCTCCGTCGCCTAATAGAGTTCGCCAACGCTCCACTGTTCCACTATATGCGTTCCCATGACTCGGACAATATGTACTTCTGCTTCCGCTGGCTGCTCGTCTGGTATAAGCGGGAGCTAAGCAACGAGGATGTCCTTCGGCTTTGGGAGTGCCTCTGGACCCGCCTGCCCTGTCCCAATTTCCATCTGCTTTTTTCGGTAGCCATTCTCGATCAGGAGACGAGCGTTATTATCGACAGCCAGTATGAGTTCACGGAGATTCTGAAGCATGTCAACGAACTAGCCGGCCACATCGATGTCCAAAAGACACTGGAGATCGCCGAGGCCATCTATCTGCAGCTCAAGGCATCGGAGACGCTGCCCAACGACATTCGGGCTATCATTGGCGAGCCCCTGCTGATGCCAACTGCCAACGGCGAAGAGGTTGATGCAGCCGCGGTCATGGATGATGAGACGGCATACTCGGACGATGGCTTCGACGAGCTGGTGCGAGAGCTTACGCCGGAGGAGAAGTTGCGCCAGCAAGCACTCCTGGAGGAGGCGTGCGAGCGCTCGCTCTTTCTGCAGTACCATTAACGAACGACTTGGAGAAAGCGTGAAAGAAGCCAAACCAAAAGCCCTTAGCGCAAATTACACTGCCCCATGTGGGTTCCTTTGGGCAAACAAGATGATTCTGTTTAGGGCTGCCAATTAATCAAAATTATTCTAGAAATTAATCGTAAACAAATAATTGAATTGGTCTATATCCATTGTCAAAAGTTAAGTTGCTTAAAATTACAAGGAATGAGCAGCCCTAACAGGCATCTTCTTTGTACAATTATGTTTGTAACCTGTAGGGCAGTGTTGTTATTATCTTAGACTTTAAGACTCAAAGTTTACTACCGCATTGAAAGCGAAGCTAAGCTAGCCAAGTGCTTTAAACTCTGCTGATACACAGATTTATATATATATATATTGTATATTATACATATTTGTACGTTTTTTGTATTTATTGTAAGTTTTATCCCGAACCCTTAAACCCAAACCCATCGCCTCACATCCTTATGTCAAAGCACCTCCCCTTTGGCTCCCTTAAGCAAGGTTATTAATTATTTAAAGTAGACTCAAAGGATTTGTATGTATTGTAACATTGTTTTCTTCGTCCAAAATTCCACATGCGCAGCTTTAGTTGTTTCTTTTCCAAGTTTTTAACCCATTTACTGTGAATTCACATACGATATACCCAATTACACCACATACACACAATTACATACATTAAAAATGCGTAGTAAAAGTATCTAAAAATAAACACCCGGTTTGCACATAGGAAAATGGAATGGCGTTTTGTTGTTAATTAGTTTTTTTCACAACGAAATTTTCAGTGGCATCTCAAGTCGTCGTGATTCCACAAACTACTCTATCACAGGTCAGCAGCACTCACTGATAAGGCATGGAATCGTGTCATCCGAGTTAACTAAGCAATCCGAGTAAATTCCCATCATAATAATAATGCATAAATTGGAAATTTTTGGAATCTAAGCGTCTGCTACATAAACTCGGCAATTTGATCAATTTTGTGGTTGGGACCAGATCTCAGAGCAAATTGTTCGCCGGACCCATGTTAAATAACAGGCGAACAGAAAGCAGTAACAACAGGGCTGACGTCAATGCATGCTGTATGAAATGCATTTGGGCAAGTCCGTTGGATAGAATGGGATAGCTGCTGCATTCTCCGGGAGAGCTTTAGCTCGTTGGTTAGGGGGGGACAGCTGCTGTGCACTCCGGGAGAGCTTAAGTTCGTTGGTTAGGGGGGGACAGCTGCTGTATACTCCGGGTGAGCTTAAGTTCGTTGGTTAGGGGGGGACAGCTGCTGTGCACTCCGAGAGAGCTGAATTCGTTGGTTAGGGGGGGACAGCTGCTGTGCACTCCGGGAGAGCTTAAGTTCGTTGGTTAGGGGGGGACAGCTGCTGTACACTTCGGAAGAGCAGTAATCGTGATAAGGGATGGAAAGAGATATCAAATATCTTTAACAATGGGTGCGATCGGCAACATGGCTTCCCGTCGGACATTATTAAGCGTTGTCTTAAGCTGAGAAGAATTGTGTTCAGCGTCGACCTTTGCTGCGTTATGATCCCCCGATACATGAAATCGGACATTTAAAGAATTTGTACGGCGCAAAGTCTGATTTGGGACCAGATCGCAGTGCAAATTGTTCGCCGGACGCATGTTAAATAACAGGCGAACAGAAAGCAGTAACAGCAGTGCTGACGTCAGTGCTCGCTGTATGAAATGCATTCGAGCAAGTCCGTTGGCTAGAATGGGATAGCTGCTGCATTCTCCGGGAGAGCTTTAGCTCGTTGGTTAGGGGGGGACGGCTGCTGTGTACTCCGGGAGAACGGTACTTTGATGTTAGGGGGGGACAGCTGCAGTGCACACCGAGTGAGCTTAAGTTCGTTGGTTAGGAGGGACAGCTGCTGTGCACTCCGAGAGAGCTGAATTCGTTGGTTAGGGGGGGACAGCTGCTGTGCACTCCGGGAGAGCTTAAGTTCGTTGGTTAGGGGGGACAGCTGCTGTACACTTCGGAAGAGCAGTAATCGTGATAAGGGATGGAAAGAGATATCAAATATCTTTAACAATGATGGCGATCGGCAATATGGCTTCCCATCGGCCATTATTAAGCGTTGTCTTAAGCTGAGAAGAATTGTGTTCAGCGTCGACCTTTGCTGCGTTATGATCCCCCGATACATGAAATCGGACATTTAAAGAATTTGTACGGCGCAAAGTCTGATTTGGGACCAGATCGCAGTGCAAATTGTTCGCCGGACGCATGTTAAATAACAGGCGAACAGAAAGCAGTAATAGCAGTGCTGACGTCAGTGCTCGCTGTATGAAATGCATTCGAGCAAGTCCGTTGGCTAGAATGGGATAGCTGCTGCATTCTCCGGGAGAGCTTTAGCTCGTTGGTTAGGGGGGACAGATGCTGTGTACTCCGGGAGAACGGTACTTTGATGTTAGGGGGGGACAGCTGCAGTGCACACCGAGTGAGCTTAAGTTCGTTGGTTAGGGGGGACAGCTGCTGTGCAGTCCGAGAGAGCTTAAGTTCGTTGGTTAGGGGGGGACAGCTGCTGTGCACTCCGAGAGAGCTGAATTCGTTGGTTAGGGGGGGACAGATGCTGTATATTCCGGGAGAGCTGTATTTTGTTGGTTAGGGGGGGACGGCTGCTGTTTACTTCGGAAGAGCAGTAGTCGCCATAAGGGATGAAAAGAGATATCAAATATCTTTAACAATGGGTGCGATCGGCAATATGGCTTCCCATCGGCCATTATTAAGCGTTGTCTTAAGCTGAGAAGAATTGTGTTCAGCGTCGACCTTTGCTGCGTTATGATCCCCCGATACATGAAATCGGACATTTAAAGAATTTGTACGGCGCAAAGTCTGATTTGGGACCAGATCGCAGTGCAAATTGTTCGCCGGACGCATGTTAAATAACAGGCGAACAGAAAGCAGTAACAGCAGTGCTGACGTCAGTGCTCGCTGTATGAAATGCATTCGAGCAAGTCCGTTGGCTAGAATGGGATAGCTGCTGCATTCTCCGGGAGAGCTTTAGCTCGTTGGTTAGGGGGGGACGGCTGCTGTGTACTCCGGGAGAGCTTTAGTTTGTTGGTTAGGGGGAGATAGCTGCTGCATTCTCCGAGAGTGCTGAACTTCGTTGGTTAGGGGGGATAGATGCTGTTTACTCCGGGAGAGCGGTACAGAGCAGTAGTCGTGATAAGGGATGGAAAGAGATATCAAATATCTTCGACAATGATGGCTTCCATCGGCCATTATTAAGTGTCGTATTAAGCTGAGAAGAATTGTGTTCAGCATCGATCTTCTGCCGCGTTCTACGCGCCTGGTAGATGAAATCAGACAGTTGATAAATTTGGTGGCACAACATTTTCGGACTGCCCAACTTTATTTTTTTATTCCTGCCCAATATACTTTATCCCTCCAGCTCCCCGACACTCTTGGATTTATTTCTTTTTGAATTTTTGAAATTTTATTTTCTTTTTATATTTATTTATTTATCATCAAATATCAATAGTTGATGCTCGCTCGGTTGTTTTGTTATCTGCTGTGTTGCGGTTGCTTCCTCTGGTTATTGTTGTTCTGCAGTTCCATATATCATAATTTTAATTAAGATTTATACTTACAAGTTAAGTGAATGCAATATATGTTTGTTTTTGTCTCTTTTTTTAGTATGTGTGTTTTTTTTGTTTTTTACGTCTCTCTCTCTCGGTGAGGGCGAACAAAATTAAGAATAGTAAACCATAATTGTCGTTCATAATTAGTCGCAGCATCTTGAACGAGTAGTTTTATGCACATCATATTCCTTCGTTTCAGCTCAATTACACATTACAAATTGATTTAATTAAAAAGTTATATATATATTTGTCGCTTAAGTGTGTGTCTGCTTTTGTATAAGGGGTCTTCTGATTTAAAAAACACATACAATTAGACAAAACTGGACACTTTTCACTAATTACAAAATTAAAAATTATACAAATTACACGCAGTTTTCTCAGGGGGACACACAGAGACAGGACAGAGAGAGTAAATACAACATAGTGAGGAGGTTATGAGAGAATACATAATGTGTGTGTGCCTGCCTTACAATATGTTTAAGTGTATATTAAAACGGTTAAGCAATGCGAGAGCCATTTATAAAGATTATATAAATTATGTACAGGTATCGTATATATATATAGAGACGTTGCTTGTGTGTGTGTGTTTGAGGAAACCCAATTAGTATCTTCCGTGTCTCTATTATTAAAACATTTCTTGTGGTTGCAATAATTTAAACGATTAAGCCGGATGCAGCAGCCATCCTTTTCTCAATTACTCTCTGTTACAATTAAATTATAAGCGCTTTCTTTAAATTATTTTTCGTAATTGTATAAATATATTCTTCAGAGGCAGGGAAAACGATTGATTTGGAATCGAGCTCCAGATTTTAAGCAGCAGTTCTGGAACTCGTAAACCCAGATCGTGATCGATTGTACGTGATAACGTGATAACGGACACAGCCCCTTTCCTGCCTTCCACGGGGCCAGACGGTTGTTGCAGCAGGTGTCCGAGCCCAGCAGAAGGAGATAGTGGGCGTGCGCTCGCTGACCAGTCCACAAGTTCTCCCTCCTCCTCTGTCCTCGCCCTCTCTATCTATATATATAGTTTAGTTTATATATCATGCATCCTTAGACTTTACACAACTTTAAGCTTAAGGGTCCAAACTCCTAGTGGTAACAGTTTCGCCTCGACCGCGTTTGCATTTTTATCATCATCTTCATCTTTTCATTTCCTTCCTTCAACTTCTTTTCTTTGTGTTTCTTGTTATTTTCCTTGATTCTTTGCTTCGTTTGTTGTCGTCCAGTAGTGGCTCCTCCTCCATGTCTCAGAGAAGGCGCCGCTGCCCCATCCTGCTAGCGCTGGCGCTCAGATCTGCGCAATACTCATTCATTCCGTTCCTCGGCACCTGACTCGCTGCCAGCGGATAGATTTAGCGTGCTGGCATCCGCCGAGGAGCGTGTGTGCCGAGTTGATCTCAGCTCGCGTCGCTTCTCAGGCGGTTGTCCCTCCACCGCTGAACCAGGTGCCGCTGCTCCCTGCTCGTTGCCCGAAGACCGCGGGCGCTTCAGCCGATTCGAGGAACGACGATTCTCTTCGGCGGCGGCGGCAGCTGCAGCGGCAGCCGCGGAACTTGTTGAGGAACCGCTTAGATTGGCCACTGTACCGGCTCCCGCAGTGTCCAAATCCTCGACGCTGCCGCCATGGCTGCTGCCTGGAGCAGGAGCAGTCGCCGCCGCTGATGGCTTCTTGAGTATGGGTTGTATGATCAGTTCGTCGGCCTCCTCGTAGGGTGGCGGCAGTTTGGCCGCATCCGCCGCATTGGTGATGGTCAGCGAGATGCGCGACTCGGAGCGCTCGGAACGCTCACTGCTGGTGCTCGCTCCGCTGCTTATTGGCGGCGCTATGGTTATCGTTGTCTGACTCGGAAGATTGGCGGCCAAGCCGGCAGCTGCGGAGGAGCTGCCCGATCCACCAGAGGCATTCAGCGGTGTCAGGGTAACCTTATCTTGTTGCTGGTCCCCCCAGACATGGGTGCCGGGGTCGAACTGCTGGAGCTACTGCCGCCCCGCAGACTCTTCTCGATGCTGCTCATGCTGGCTCCTAGGTTCAGGGGCAACCCTGCAGCCATGGCCGCAGCGGCCAGTTCCTCCTTCGTCGGATGCATTTCACTGCGCGATCGCTTGGACTTCTGCTGCTGTTGGTGCTGTTGCTCGGCATCCAAGGCGGCGGCATAGGCAGCCGCCGCTGCATTCGCCGAACTGGAGCCGGACGACGATGCTGAGGAGGTTGGTATCAACGAGATGCCCGATCCCAGCCCCAGAGTCTTGGTATAGTAATCCATTTGCTGCTTGAAGGCGTCCTGTTCTCGCTGTCGCTTCGACGAAGAGCTGCTGCCCGACGAACCTCCTCCTCCACTTGATCCTCCAGCCGAGCCTCCCGTAAGTCCCGCCAAACTGGCCAGGGATCCAGGACCACTCAGCGGTAGGGATCCTCCAGCTGCAGCCATTGCCTGGGCGGCCATTTCGGCTAGGAAGGCCTGCGAAAAGTCACTGGACATGCCTGGTATCTGTGGGAGTTGGGCTGCCGCCGCCGCAGCGGCCGCTGCTGCTGCAGCTGCAGCTGCCGATGCTGATGACGACGACTTGGAGTTCTTGCTGGAGGCTGAGGATGAGCCTCCCGTATTGGAGCTGGACGATGTCGAGGGCATTTTGCCCTGTGAGAATGCCTGCAGGGCGGCCAAGTCCGTGGGCAGGGCGCCGCGTGCGAGGCTCTCGAACCACTTTTGCTGCTCCTTGGCCTGGGCCTGGGCCTCACTTTGCTGCTGCTGGCTGCTGTTGCTGCCCCTCTTGCTGCCGCTGCTGGCGGCACTGCTCGAGGAGGCGCCGCCCGCGGTACCCGGCAGCGGTGGCATGCCCAAGGAGCTCATGAGGCGCGTGGCCTGTGCCAAATCCATGTTGCTCATCCGGCTGAGAGACTCGAGCAAGTGCGGATCCGCTCCTGGCATGAGCAGACTACTCAACTGCGCCATGTCTGCCGCTGTAGGTGTCGTTTGCGCTTGGCTCCTGCTGCTAGACGATTGCCTGCCGCGACCCGAGGAGGAGGACGAGGGCGTTGTCACTGTGCTAGCGCCGCCGCCGCCTCCCATACTGGCCATGGCATTCATGAGGCTGGCTGCAGCCGAGGCCGAGGCCGAGGCATTCCGCGACTGACTCGACTTGGAGGACTGCGATTGGTGCGACTTGGACTGCGTGGAGCTGGTGTTGGAGGCTGACGAGGTGGCTCCGCCGTTTAGCAGGTTATATTGCTGCGCCAGCTGGTCGTAGGCGGATCCTAGACCACTGGAGCCCAGGGAGTACGGATTGAGTCCGCCTAGGCCCATGGGTGGATACAGTAGCGAGGGATTCGGGAAAAGGAATGGAAAGCCGGCGGCCAGTTGCTGCGATGCAGATGCCGCTGCATTCTTGCCTCCAGCTCCGCCACTGCCGTTACCGCCTCCTCCCGATGATCCACCGCCGCTACTGGCACTTATGGCCGCCGCCAGTTGAGCAGCTTCATTCTGTGCCTGCTGCTGGGCCGCCGCCGCTGCCGCTGCCTGCTGCTGCTGCTGTTGCTGCTGTTGTTGCTTTTTCTTGCTGGCTGAAGAGGATGAGGTCGCCGACGACGACTGCCCCTGACTCTTGCCGGAACCCGCTCCGCCGGCTGAACCCGTCAAGCCGCCCAGAGTTGGCCCGGCAGCAGCCATGAGCGCAGCCAGCGACTGGGTGTCCATCCCAGCCAAGTTACCCAATCCTCCCATGCCCGCCAGACTGGCAAACAAGTTCATGTTGTTCAGGTTACCGAGTCCCGGGATATTGCCCATGCCCGGCATGCCGCCAAAGGACATGGACAGCAGCGGATTCTTGGGATCGAAGGCAGCCAGCGGATTCTTGGGATCAAAGGCGCCCAGTCCCGGGAGATTAGCCAAAAGGCTGGGATTTAGGCCAGCCAGCGAGCCGAATTGCAGGGCCGCCTGATCCAGAGCCGCGGCAGCTGCCGTTTGCTGGTTCCGTGATGACTTTTTCGATGATCCTCCTCCCGCCGGTGATTGAGCGGCGGCGGAAGATTGTTGTTGCTGCTGCTGTTGGGTGTGCGACGAGGAGGAGGCGTTACTCGAGTTTGACGATGGGCGGCCGCCATGGGACTTGACCACCGGCGACCCGTAGCTACTATCCATGGAGGAGGATGTTGGTTTGGGCGATGGCGCCGACATGGGATTCTGCATCTGCTCCAACCACTTGGGATCCACCTCATAATTGGGATTCTCCGTGAGCCTGAAAATGGGAGGTTAAGTGTTAAGAGACTATACTTAGAAGTGTTAGCTTTCCTAATCTCACCATTGCATGAGTCGCTTGAGCTGTGGCGCCTTGTTGCCGCCCAAACGCTTGCCCGTCTGCTTGTTGATCACGGGCACCGGTTCCTCGCCAGTCAGATTCTGTGGGCCGGCGGCCATCGAGTGCTGCTGCTGTTGCTGCTGTTGTTGCTGTTGTTGCTGCTTCTGCATCTGCGAGGCACTCGAGCTGCTCTGCTGTCGATTGGAGCGCCGACTGTTGGAACCACTTGCTCCACCGCTGCCTCCAACGTAATCAATGCTGAGCTGGTCGCCCAGGGGACTGGTCATGTCCGACAGCCACTTGTTTACTTTGACGTCGTGCGGCGAGTTGGTGGCGGCGGCGGAGGACGAGAACTTGGGACTGAGCTTCATAGCCTGCTCCATCTCGGCCAGCATATTCTCGTAGGCCTTGCGCTGGGCGGGCGGCAGGAATTGCATCATCTTCTGTTGCTGCTTGAGGAACGTCTGCGGATCGGTGGCCATGGTCTGGGCCAGTAGGGCGTTCAGACTGTCTTTTGAGGAGAGACCGCCCATGGCCATGTTCTGTAGGGCGCTCAGGCCGCTGCCGCCGCCGCTGCTCCCGCTGGCCGATGAGCTTCCGCTGGCGTTGGTTCCGCTTTTTGATTCTACAAGGAAAAATAAAGATAGATACTCAAGATTAGTCAGGAACTCTTTGGGAATGGCTGCCCGTCCTCGGGCGGCAGGGTTAGTAAAAAGTAAAAGCGCAGAGACTCCAACTCACTTCCGGGCACTGTGGTCACAGTGATGGTAAATGGTTTCTGATTCATTTGTTGCTGACTCGCAGAGGATTGCAGATTGGCAGGCGTCACCGAGACGCTGGGCGGAATCTGGGGCTTCTTCGACGACGACGATGACGATGGCAGCGAGGGATCGGGGAAGGTCTTTTGCTCCTTGGCAGCAGACAAACCCAGCACAATCTCGTCTAGCTTCTTGCGCTTCTTCTCTTTGCCGATCACGGGTTCCTCAATGGTCTAAAGTAAAGTAAAGGGAAAGTAAACGGCAGAATGTTAGATTGATAAACGGTTCAATATATCGGAAATAATTTAAATATAATTTTTTCGTATTACTTACACAATTGTTCTTTTTCATAAGCTTATTGAGCGTGTCATCCAGCTTGCTCTTGCTGCCACCAATCGAAGGGAAGGCAGAGCTTAGCGCGGCATGCACGCTGGACTTCTTGGAGGGCATAGAGAAGTCCTGCACCTCGCTCAAGTCAATGGCTCCGGCACTGGAGGCCGACTTAAGCATCTCCGTCATGTTCATTTTGGGCAGGCTGCTGCGGATAAAAGGTTTACAGAAATTAATAAGACATTCTTTTCCTGCATCTCCTCGTGTGCTGTTTAACCCACCTTGAGGATAGATCCATGGGTGCGCCCATCGACGGCGGCGGCGTCTTAAGCGCCGGCACAGCTGGCTTGCTAAACTGTCCCGAGGATTGCCGAGACAGCGAGGCATGTTGGTGCGCGGGCGGTGGTTGCATGCCACTCAGGGCAGCCGAAGATGAGCTTCCGCCCCGTCCGCGGCCAGAGGAACCACCACCAGTCAAGGCCTCCATATTGGCAATCTCACTCTCCCAGTCTTTGGGAGCCACTGCAAGAAAAACAAACGTTAGTTTGGGAAACTCCATGAAGATCTGTAGTTTAGGGATAACACTTACTTGTCGAACTGTTGAGCAAAGCGTGCAGCTTGGCCCTTTCCGTTTCCACATCAATGGCAATGTGTCGCTTCCGCTTCTTGCCCACTCCAGACCCAACGCCGGCATTGGGCACATTTAAGCCACCGCCGATGCCGGCTGATGAGGCCGATGAGGCGGCACTTGCCGCACTCAGCGACATGCCCGGCAGCAGGGAGGACAAAGAGGTGGCATTGCCACCGGCTGCTGCTGCTGCCACGGCGGCGGCCACTGCGGCATTGATGCTGTTGGCATCCAAGCCGGGTAAAGTGGGGGTGGACTTCGACTGGCTGCTAGTCACCTGGGAGCCGGTGGAGGAGGATGTCGTACTAGCGGCAACCTGTTGCATCTGCGAAGCCTGCAGATGCTTCGTTACTCCCTGGTCCGTGGTGATCGTAATCACATCGGGGGTTGTCGACCGACGCTCCAGGCTGTTCAGATGAGGAATCGACTCGTGCAGGGCGATACTCAGATCAGTGACGCCTCCCTTGCAGCTGGCAAAGGCACTGTACTTGATGTCCACGGGCCACTTGCCACCCTCCACACAGGCCACAATGTGGGCAATGCGGCGTTCCAGGGCAAAGTCCTTGAACCAGCGAATCATGCACATCTCCAGCTTGGGCTTCTCCAGCTTCTGTTGCTTCACGGCCGCGGGTTGAATAACCTCCAGATCGGGGAATCGGGCCTTGAGCTCAGCCGCTTGCTTCTTGCACTCCTCTTCGACGGCCTTCTCCTTCTCCTTCATCACCTCATCGTCATCGGGATCCGAGGGTCCGGCCACCAAATCGAGGATGTCCTGATCGTTGGCTGGCTTTTTCTTGGGAGAAACTGTCACGGCCTCTGGCGCTGCTGGTTCAGGTTTCTCCTCCTTCTCCTTCTCCTTTGAGTCTGGCTCCTTGGAATCCTCTTTAGATTCTTCTTCTGGCTTCTCTTCGTCAGTCTTTGTCGCAGCCTTGTCTGCTTCGGCTTCCTTTTCCGCCGGTTCCTCGGATTTCTCAGCTGATTCCACTTTAGTGGCTGCTTCGTCATCATCCATTTTAGATGTCTCTTTTTCAGTGGGAATAGCTTCTGCTGACTTCTCGTCTTCCAAAGATTTATTTTCATCGGTGTCATTGGTCTGTTTCTCAGGGGAGATGACGGTGGCTTTGGTGGCTTCGGTTTCCTTCTCCTCACCATTTTCAGATATGGCTGGCTGATCCTCGTCAACCTCCATTTTATCGTCGCTGGTCTTGGGTTCTCCCTCGGCCTCTGAATCAATCTTCTTTTCAGCCTCAGGGTCGGCCAGCACCGTCAATTTCCCGGCATCAGCTTCAGCTTCGGCTTCGCCATCCTTCTCAGGGACTTCGGCTTTGACTTGCTCTTCGTCCTTGACGATCTTTTCTGGCGCCTGGTCTTCAGCTTCAGTTTCTATATTTGCCGGCTCTTCATTCTCCTCCTGCGACTTCTTCTCCGGCTCTTCCGTTTCCGTTTTCTCAGGACTTCCCTCTGCCTTAACCTCATCCTTTAGGGGAGTAGTGGCCGGGGTAGCCTCCTTCTTGATGACACTGTCATCGGTCATGAGTTCATCGTCCAGATCTATCACCTCGTTCTTAACTGCTGCTGCCTTCTCTGCTGCTGCAGCCTTCTCTGCTGCTGCTGCCTTCTCTGCGGCGGCCGCCTTCTCGGCTGCCGCCAGCTTCTCCGCCTTTTCAGCATTGAAGGCCTCCAGCTTGATGGTTCTCTGGATCTGTGCCTCTAGTTCCCGGATGAAACGCTTCTCCGATTCGCCGAAACTAAAGTTCGGATCGTTGAAGATGAAGGTTTCGGAGCGATAGAGTCCGTGCTTGAGAACGGCTGTGATTAGTTCCTTATCGTGCCGTCCTGCTTCCCACCAATCGGGGGTATCCGCATTCATGGTGCACAGTTTGAGGCGCTCCTCCAGGTGGGGATTACGTGCGACCTCGCGGAGCTTGGCCAACAGTTCCAGACGATCTAATATGAGCTTGGCGTGCTCTTTATCAATCTCCTCAATGATGCCCTCTAGGCCGCGCTCCGATTCCGCGAGCTTCATGCCCGCCTGGCGCTTGCACATGGCCACAAAGACCTTGTAGTAGTCCGTCAGGGTCTCGTCGCTCTTCCGCTCCAAGTGAGCCATCTGCTTGAACTTGGTCCAGTCGGGACTGCTGCCGCCAGAGACACCACCCATAGTGGATAGATGCAAGTCAATGCCGTAGCCAGTGAGAACGCGCAGGAACTCGTACTCCTCGCGGCGGTTCCACTTTTTGGGAATGAGCTGCAGGCGCTGGGACTCTCGCTCCTTGGCCGCCAGCTCCATCTTCCCCTGCCGCTCCATTTTCTGCAAGAAGAGCGGCAAATTAGTACAAATATAATCAATATAAATAATTGGGTTGGCGAAAGTTTATCAACTACGGTGGAAGTGTCAAGTGATGGATATTTGTGTTTGGCCATTGGTAATACATCATTGTATGTATGGGTTTCTTTTTAGTGTTAATTGGTGTATGTTATTGGAGCATAAGTAGTTGTAAAGAGTTGTAGACTTTAAAAAATTTTAAATCTAAATTTAGGTTGTAGTTACTTGCAATTTATAGCAGTAAATATTAAGATATTTATTTGTTACTATGTATATAGGCATGACTCAATAGATTACCCTGATGCCTGATCCGTTCACAAAAGCAACTACAAGTAAATTAACTTTAAGACCAGAGATAAGATACTTAAAAACTACGCTCCACACCAAGAACTTTTCACAATCTTGGGAAATTGAAATTAGCTATTAATAATGATATAAATCAATATAATATATTTTAGGGAAAAGGGAAATTACTATTCACTACACTCAGTTGACAATTTTGGAATCATAATGGGGAGACATAGATACCCAATAAATCTGATATTATAGTTACATGATATAGACTATTAACAAATTGACTATGAATAATTGTATAATTTCCTCATTGACTCCCTTTATCTTCAACAATTGAATATTGGTATAGATAAGTTATCACATAGAATTAGTTAAAAAGAATTGCCAGAAAAGCTACACACCCTTTTCCCCTATTTTCCTCCCTTCAAATTGGGCATCCCCCTTGATTGAATATGTTAGGTATATACAAATACAAATGTATATATGAACAATTTCCACAATAAGTACCTATATGCACCGGGGAGAGGGGGAAAACACCCCGTTTAGCGATGGACGGTGATGTGTGATTGTGTGTGCATTTTGCAAGTGCAAATTCATTACGAATATTTACACAATTTTATGCTGGGAAAAAGAATTAAAAAGCGTCCACCAGGAGTAGCAGCAGCAGCACCCTTCCTGCTCGAGCGTAATGCGAGACTCGAAACAGGGGGTGGGATGGATGGATGGGATCACCCTCATGGCATGGTTGGTGGTGACGCCGCTGCAGGGGTGGTGGCCTCATCACCATCACCATCACCATCACCATCATCATCATCTCCTCTGTGTGTACGAAAGTCAGACGACTGACTGACTGACTATTACAGCCTTCCGAATTACACACGAATTTTTGCGAAACGAAAGACAAAATACGAATGGCAAAAGCAAAATGAAACGGCGAGGGAGGCGAGACGGGACAATGGTGTGCAGCAAAGAGAGCGGCGGGAGCAGAGCAACTGGAACTGGAAATACAATAAAATCATAATAATAAAAGTAAAAATCCATTTTACACCCCTAATAACGCTCCAGAGGACTGAGGACAGAGGCCAAAGGGCGGACAGGAGTCCTCGGTGGCGGCTGGTGGGAAATAGAGATACGGTGCTGCAATGAGCACGGGACACAAGTACACGCCGCACTAAGCAAATGGCGCCGAGTCCAGACTGCGAAGCCCGGACAAGAAGGCGCACGAAAAGGAGACGGAGACGGAGATGGAGACAAACAAATGAATCCAGTGAGACCAATTGCACGCGCCGCAGCTAAAAAGGACCTCCTCCGAAAGACCCAAACAGCCACCCACATCCCACTCCACACACTCGTACGAGTATGTGTGTTTGTGTGTGTCTGTTCTCTTCTTCTGTGCCTTGTTTTATACATGTTTGTTTGCCTGCTTGTATACTCTCCTACAGTTAGTTATGATAATAATAAAGGAGGCCGAGAAGGAGGAGCCACGAGAAACGAAACCAAAGCCATGGCAAATACACAAAATTGCATGAAAGCCTGAATGTCGTAAGGGGACTGTCATAGTGGACGAAAACAGTGGGCAAAACAGTAAATTGAAGATACCCCATACAAAACTATATTAGTTTTCCTTTTAAGTATAATTATTTATAATTGTTCTGTCCATTCTCGGACGATACTGATAGAAACGTGCTAGTTTTTTGCTTGTACATTCCAGTTATATACATAGAAGATATCCTTCCTTCCTTTCAATTTGCACTAGGAAAGGGCCGATCTGCTATCTTTTAGCGAAACTGGACCATTTTAATCTGTTTTGTTTTTCTTCTCTTTCTCATATTCATCTTCTATCAATAATAACAATATTATTAAGCAGTTTTTAATGCTTATGACTTCGTCGTTAAGGTGATTATACTCAAAAATATTCCCAGACTAGTTTGCCTTCGAAAAAGGGTTGCCACCGGCATAATTGCTATGCAAATTGGGGTAGAAAAATAGCGAAATGAACACGATATGCTCGAGTGTGTAACCCCAACAGATAATCACCCCATAAAATAAGCACAGAATAACAATAAACCACATTTTTTTCTGCTGACTGCAAGTACGACATTCAACGACGACGAAGACGTATGATGTCGAGTTCTCGTATAATTGTAGCATGAAATCAAACCGCAAAACTAAATGCAATCCTGGTAGAGGCGGCATATGCGGATACGGGATAAGTCATAAAAAAAGGATGCCAAGTGGGCGCGCAGGTTGGCAACCCTGCTGTTTGCCGTGCCGTGTCTCCTTCTGTGTCCGCTCTCCTTCCCCTTGTTCCTCTTCTGTTTCACTGTTTCTGTTCTGTTCTGTTCTGTTTATACAGCTAACGGCTTTTTTTACCACTACCCCAACCCTCCACAGACGACGACGAATGATGGCCACAACGAAATCCAAAAAGGGGGACAAACAAAAACAAACGACAAAAGCAACGGCGAGCGCAGCGCCATAAGATAAAGACCCGAGACCTCTTCCTCTTACTCTCCATACGTACTATCTTCCAATCTGACTATCTCGCTCTGGCCGCATTTACACGATACAAGTGCGAGGCAACTCGAGCAATTGATTATGATTATTAGTAGGAGAAACCGATGACTACACCAGGCGACGGCTTTCACAGTGACTTCGTTCGCCGTCTTGGAACTGCCAGCCAAAAGGTAAGGATGGGGCAAGGAGCGACGAAGGCAGCGATGGAGAGTAAGAGATAGAAAGAGAGAGAGTAAGGGCAGGGAGCAGAGCTCAGTAAGCAGCCGCGGAAAAACGAATTTAAATGAGCGGCATAACAGCCGCTTCTCGAACAGGCAACAAACAAAAAACGGATAAAACACGAGTACTGTTGCACAATGTCGGACATAATAGTGAGTAAAGCGAAGTGCAGGTTATCGGATAATTGTGGTGTTCATAAATGTGTTAATAAGAATTTTTCCCAATTTGGTAGCTTATTCTGAAAGATAAAAATCGAGTCGTCTACCAATGCTCATACACTGTAAGTACCGTAAAATGTACATTCAATTGTGATATACATTGACCCTTGCTCTGATATCTATTATTTTGACCGCAGGTGTCTGCCATCGTCTTGTACTTCCACCTGCTCCTCTTCCTCCTTTCTTAGCTACACATGCTACCACCCCCTTTTGGGGGAGCGTGTAAAGTGGCAAGCGACAGCGTCGCCGCTCATGTGAAATCTATAGGCATAAATTTATTGTTTTGTATTTTCGCTCGCTGCACACAACGAGAGCGAGATGGAGCTATGACCCCACTTCCCCCGCCTCTCTCTCTCTCCATAGCTCCGACAACTTGAGTCTCGTTTACTTTTTCTTCTTGATTTGACTCTCCACACACAAACACACACACTCGGACACATTCTTTGCATATTCTGCTCTCTTCTTGCACTCTTGCATTCTCATTTTAATTAAGAGATATGGGCATACTAATATTGGTATTGGAATTGTCATTGCTTTTTGCATTTACCTCCAAATAAATGCCATTTCCATTGCTTAACGTGGTTGGCATCGTGGCTGTTGTTGCTGTGGCTGCTGTTGTTGCTGTCGCAGCTGCAATTTGCGAGGATTTATTGAGATGCTCACAAAAGGCGGAGAAGCTGCTAAAGTCCATGGGTTTAATAACCTCCATTTTTATTTATTTATTTGTATTTCTTTTTTTTCTGGACAACAAATACTATAAAACACTATAAAATATCACAGCCGCAGAATAGAAACCGAAGCCTTGTGGTTTCCGTCACGATTATTGATTTCAATTAAGCACTAATTATCATTCATTGCGCCCCCAATGACAACTATTTTGCACCTAGTTGCTGTGGTTGTGGTTGTTGTTGCCTCGGCAATTACATTATTCCATTCCATTTCCAATACCATTCCATCGTTTTGACTATCACTCCCACTCGCTCGCTCCCATTATTCTCGCGATTTATCGCGCGCGCCCGCTTCACGTCTCTAGTCCGCTCTCGCTCGGGCACCACACTTGGACTTTTTACAACTTTACACCGCGGCGCTCAAACAAATAATGAGCGGAGCGCATTGCGGGCTGAAATACAAGAAACACTCCTCATCACACACACAGGCACAAGCGCGACGGCGACAGCGGCAGCAGCTAAAATCGAATGCGAATCAGGCAGCGCAAGAGAGACTCAAAAGAGTGGCAGCGGCGGGAGCAGGAGCGGGAGCGGGAGCGAGAGGCACAGGCACAGGCAGAGGTAGAAGGGAAACCAAACAATCGTGAGATTAAGCCAAACGCCGTTTTGGGTGAATGTGAATATGAATGAGATGGGCTAAAAACTGAGACTCGAGACCGATACCGATACCGATGCCGACCGAGGAGTCTCAGACTGAGGTGAATGAGCGTCACTTGCAACAGACTGTGAGAACGAGAGAGAGACTGAGAGCCTTCGAGCGAGAGAGCCGGACTCAAGAGAGAGCGGGACATTAAATGTTACTGAGTAAGTGTGCACTGGATGGACGAGTTGGAGAAGAAGCACCAGCGGCGGCGGCAGGCACATTGTGTCAACTCGTGTAATGTAAGCAAAGAAGAAGCACCAGCACTAGCCTGCCACACACATATAGAAGCGAGGAGACGGGGACACAACACACGGCTGAATCGGAGGCAAAAATCCAAGGCAATGAAACAAATGTACCACAAAAACT